CTTCAACAATGAGCAAAACCTATACTGCATAGTCATCTATAAAAGGCCCCCAAATGACAAATGTAAGACAATTCAAACAGGTAAACAAATGGCCTGATTAATATTCAAAATAATGAATGAACAAGAGTGCACACGCTGAAATGTCTCGCCTTCTTTACTAACCATTGATTTTATGTTGATAGTCCTAAATACAAAGCTTTACTACAAGTAACACATAAACTTAACATGATCAAAGAAAATGAGGTCAAGGTCAGATAAACCAAACGAGAAATACATGTACACCTTACAATCATTCAATAACCAAACATAGTTGACATATTGCTTATTGTTTCTAAGAAACAGTCTTAAACAAGAAAATTTAACATTGACCAATGAACCATGAAAATGAGGTCAAGGTCAGATGAACCATGCCAGACAGACATGTACACTTTACAATCAATTTAGGCATTAAATATAGTTGACCTATTGCTTATAGTATCTAATAAACAAACTTAACCATGAAAACTGAACATTGACCAATGAACCATGAAAATGAGGTCAAGGTCAGATGATACCTGCCAGACAGACATATACACCTTACAATCCTTCCATACATCAAATATAGTTGATCTATTGCTTATAGTTGAAGAAAAACAGAAAATGAACCATGAAAATGAGGTTAAGGTCAAATAAAACCTGTGAGACTGACCTGACATGTACATCATAAAATATTTCCATACACCATTTATAGTTGACCTATTGCATATATTATTAGAAAAAAAGACCAAAACTCAAAAATTTAACTTTGACCACTGAACCATGAAAATGAGGTCAAGGTCAGATGACACCTACCAGTTGGACATGTACACCTTACAATCATTCCATACACCAAATATAGAAGACCTACTGCTTATAGTATCTGATATATGGACTTGACCACGAAAACTAAACCTTGTTCACTGATCCATGAAATGAGGTAGAGGTCAAATGAAAATTGTCTGACGGGCATGAGGACCTTGCAGGGTACGCACATACTAAATATAGTTATCCTATTACTCATAATAAGAAAGAAATTAACATTACAAAAAATGTTGACTTTTTTTCAAGTTGTCACTGAACCATGAAAATGAGGTCAAGGACAATGGACATATGACAGAAGGAAACTTCGTAACATAAGGCATCTATATACAAAGTATGAAGCATCCAGGTCTTCTAGCTTCTAAAATATAAAGCTTTTAAGAAGTTAGCTAACGCTGCCGCCGCTGCCTCACTATCCCTATGTCGAGCTTTCTGCGACAAAAGTCGCAGGCTCAACAAAAACGAAAATGATATACAGCAACAAACGACAAACACTGAATTACAGGCTATATATGACCACTTTTCTGTTGTCAAATCCAAAGGCCTATGGTGTGTCTAACAATATCTCAATTATTTTTGGTTTATAATTTTTCATGAAAAAAACTGTTATGCAGTATGAGCTACATGTACAACTGTATTTAAGAAAATATTTATGTAGTTAAAAATATGCACAAACCAACTGTTTAGACATGATTCTTCCCACAAGAAATGGCAAAACAGACAAAAAGCTGCAAATGAATATTTATGTTGAAAATAATCACAAGAAGTTTGTATCATCAAATTGCATTTAATAAACAAGATTAAAGAGTAGTTCACATTTTTTCTGCAGTTTCTGTTGTCATTACAAAAATTGAAGACTTTCCTTTAGCCTCGAATTTAAGAATTTATTCTGTTTAACTAAAATTACTTCAAACTTATCAAATTCAAAGAAGTTGAAAAAGTTTCAGGGGAGATTATCATTAACACTATAATGCACTCTGAACGACCTGTTATTGGTTTGGTTTATGACAAGTCTTAAAAATGGAATCTTATCAGTGACACATGATTTCAAATCTGAAATAAAATCATTGCGCAGAATAACCCATTGAATCAGACACAAAAAAAAATCTGCTTTCTTCTTAAACAAATCTAAATGAAACAGAAGACAAAATTTTGTTTTTGTCAGAACTTTTAGGTACATTGTTTATTTCTGATTTTTACTCTGCTTTTAGAATTTGACGGGAGAGGTTGTAAAATTTTCCGTTCATTGGAAAATTATTTTCCCTCAAAATATGAGGTAACAATTGGGCAAACACATTTTAGTAACAATTTTAAAAACTTTCTCTAAAATTATATATAAGCACGGTAAAACAAATTTTTGTGTGTAAATATTTCAAATCATAACAAAAGCTGACTCTTATAAAATAAAAATACAAAAATGACAATACAAAAAACTTATAAAACTGCCCAATAACAATTGGTAAATAGAACTTATTTTGGCATGTAATATGTTGATATACTTAAGTTTTGAAATGAGACAACACTGCTGACATGACATTAAATTTTTCACTAATACATATTTATAATAGTTTTTTTTTAAAATAAAACCAATTTGGCTGATGTTTTACTATAACTTTTAGTTTTAAATAATCTCAAAGATGAAAGAAAATTAAACACAATTACAAAAAAATCACAATTTTGAAACTCATTTATCTCGAAAACAATTTAAGCACTGTAAAACTATGTTATATTTCATGATTTTTTCACAGAACATAATTATCTCGATCTACATCATATCTCAAAACTACAAAAATGACAATATAATACTGTATTTTTTCATTTTAATCAATTTTCACTTGATGTTTAAAAAAACAAAATACCTCAGTTATTATGGAAAGTTTTAAGCATCTAGCTAAGTAGCTCTTATTGTATCATACCCATGTATATTTAATCAGTATAACATTATTCAAATTGATCTCTGCCATGTAAAATCCATTACTGACCAAATTTTTATACAAACAGTTTGAAAATTATCTAAACAGAATTTGTAACTAAAATCTGGGACTAAGCTAAAATCTAAATGATTTCAAGTTTAACTGACATTTATAAGTTTTCATACTCTTTCTTAATGTAATCAGCTTTGTCTATGGAAAAATCCTCCACATATCACGAAAAAAGAAAGTTTGATCAATTTATCCAATTTTACTTGTCTGAGCATAATAAAACAATAACAATATTAGAACAACCAATTTGTTTAATCAATTGATTGCAAATAATGAAAATGGTAGCTTGCTACAGATATGTATAACTAACATGCACTATAATAGTATGATTTCTGATGAGACATTACTACCCAGCCGAGATCAAAGGACGAGGATATCAAGACATCCCCTCAGCATGTTAATTGAGATGCAGTTAGGATTATCCATGTACATGTACTTGCACAGCTAGTTCAACTAGCTTTTTGACCATGACTATTTATAACATACAGTTTTCTTCCAGGTGCAAGACATATATTATAGTAGTAGTGAATAATAATGCTAAGTTTCATCCTTGAACTACAAGGGATTATAAAGTTTGAGAGCATAAACAATTTTTGTGTATAGCAAGAATGATTTATTCAAAGTTTGACTTTGAAGTTTAAATCTCATGAAGATTAGATTAAAAGTCTCAAGACAACATTAAGAGTTTGCTGATCTGATTTATCTATAAGTTTTAGCAAGTTGTTTTCAAAATGTTATTATTAAAGAAAACAATTTTCAAGTCTAGTTTAAGTAACAATCTGTGGCGATATTTTAAAACTTCATGAAAGGCTTTAATTTATCTTGTCTATTATTGTCCAGAACTAGGATACCAGATACCAAGATAAGCTGGACAACGTCAACAAACAAAATTATCACATAGCGTTTTCTACTAAAAGATTCAAAATATGTAAAATGTTTGACATTTCTTTTATTTTATGAGAACCTTTTCTAACCCTAAATTTTACATTTTCACAAAAACTAAAGACCATTAATGACGAAAACATGTGTGGTCTTCATTCCTATTAAAAGAAGAATTGTAATGGCAACAACTATTTTATGATTTTTCAATCTTTTTTCTTTTTTTTCAATTATCAAAAATCTACGATTATGTTCTTATGTTTTTCTTTATGATTATGTTCTTATGTTTTTCTTTCCTTCCATTTATAATACATTGGAAAAACCCTCAAAATTTTTTCTGTAACCATGGGATTGTAAACATACATGTACAAAAAATTAGTCCTTGAAAATGCAAAAGAAAATGTGAAGATTGCTATCTGGACAAATCTTTTAAAAGTCAATTTCTGAAAAATTTGAAATATTACATACTAATTTTCAAGTGCTTCAGTGTAGAAACACATCAAGAAAATGTTCTTAAATTAATAGCAATATCTACAGAAACAATAGCAAAGCTATTTCTAAACTTGTGAAATAGTTTGGCATGAAATTAAGTGAATTACCATGATTACATTTAATAGATAGTTACACTAATTTCAATACAATTTTCAAAATTGACCTACATTATATAACACTAATGAAATTTGTGTCAATATAAACTTTAATGCCAGTTAAACTCACTTACAAGAGAAGATTGAAACAGTATTATCAAGTATCATGAAAATATTCAACATGATCAATAATCACAGAAATTTATTAACAAGTTAATTCTTATTTTATAGAAAATCTCATCACATCTAAGATTAACATGTCAAAGTTGACAAGATGACCATATTATGAACTTTGAAATTCCAATTGGAAAACAGGTTCAAACTAATTATATCAGAATTATGGTTGAGGTATGAACTTTTATCGACTTTTAGTTTTATCAAGTATAAATGTGGATATTACAAATTTTTACACTTTGTTATTATATAACAATTTAGTAAAAAAATATTAAAAAATCAATTAAAACAGCAGTCAGTCTTTAGAAATGTATAAAACTGGTAGATGCTTTAAAATTCAAATGAAAAGATTTAGCATAAAAAATAAGTGGTAATATACTCAGTGATTAACACAGAGCAAGGTGCTTATACACATAAAACATACAACATGTAAATCTTTACAAAAAAAAACCACTGTAGCTAAATAAATTTTTGTCATTACATTTACTTGTCTTAATATTGCATACATTTAGAAAAAATCTACAACACCGAAAGCATTTACCTTCTTCCTATTTTATCAGTGACATTTAAAGCTGTTGGCACTGAATGTGATGTAGGAATACTATTTCTCCTTTGTTTATTGTTTCCAGGTCCTTGATACAGCTTTTTCCAAAATGAGCTCCTTTCCATATTAATTAGCAATAATTAGAGCACAAAAACAAGTTAAACTCCATTGTTGCAAGACAATGCAAAGAGATGATAATAACATTCATTTGATTTTAAAATATAATATTTCTAAAAGGATTGCATGATTATCAAATCAATCATTTACACATGTTTTTATCGATAAAGTATCACTGACTGCATTTTCCTTCTGATCAGAATCGTTAAACAATAAGCATTCAGTTGATTATTAGTTTTGTTTAGTTGTAACTATAGTTCTCGTAAAACGGTCATTAATTCCTAATATAAATTTTTCATCCTTATTTCTAGGAATATTCCATAGAGTAAAAAAACCTTGTGAATATTTAATCAAAGTAATTAATTCATTGGCTCAAATGACTACTGTCAACAAAATGCAAAATAATAAACTCTATGTACCTCCACACAAAGGTGCACTCCTTTCATTTTATTTTTCAATATTTTCCCCAAACAAATAAAGTAAAGTAATAGCGAGCAATTATATTTTTTTCTCTCAAACCATCAGAGAATCAGAATTATGAAAGGATAAAATGTCTCTGTTATGATAGCTGGTGATCATATATGTTAATCCTTGAAATTCAACTTCTGTTGTGTTTGAAACTTACAAGCAAATCATTTTTTCAATATGCACTAATAATAAATTAGTTTATTCTAATAGTGCAGTTCCTGTGAGAGTTCATGCCTACATCAAAGTGAAGTATTTCCATCAAGAATTAATCCAATAATTGTTTGCAAATATCCTAGAATCTTCAGACATGTCAATTAAAAACTTATTGCTACGAGCTTCATCAGTTTTAGGTGCAACTGTATCAAGGTACGTAATGGAAAAAAAAAATCATTTGTTATAAGCTGTCACTAAGTATCAAATGAAAACAAAGTTATGACTGCTAACACATCAATTTCAAAATAAGTCTCCTTGCAGAACATAAAGATAATGTAAAAAACTTGACAAGAACAAAGTAAGATTGGTCGATTTCCTGTTTTTAATGAAGCCAATGTTATACCAATCCATTAACTTCCATTCATACTTTTGACATAAAACATCAACAAGAAGACACAACTTACATCAAATAGAATAAAGCATCAATATATTGAAAATAATAGATGGCAATGTTTTGTTCACTCATGCAGTCAATTTCAACATTTTGACATGATGACTTTCTCTCAATCAATTACAGTGGTACTGGTAGAAATTGAAATATGTAAAAGTTTTTTCTGTTGTCTGAGGCTCACCATCAATAACTCCTATACTAATCAATAGCTGTGCTTAGAATGAAATTTTTTTTTTTACAAATACTCGCACTCCAAAATAATTAAGATTTTCCATAACAGTAATTCATTGTAATTTACTTATATACATTTTGTAAGTAAATGTCAACAAAACTATTTTATCAAAGGGTAAAATTTAATGCAATAGTCTAGAATGAGTCCACTCATTGCCAACAGTAAATAATTTGCCAACATTAGTTATACTTCATCTATCCTGTAAATTTCAAGGCAAGCAAATTTTGTAGTAATTTTATTTTAAATGTTTTTAAAGTTGGTTTTAAATCTAATATGAATACACAATGTAACCTGTGAGTTATCAGGTAATAATTTATAAAAGCAATATTGTTTATAATTTCACTTGGAAATTTTCCAACAACCAACATACCTACTGGTTTATATTTGAGGATCAGAGGGTTTTTCAAATTTTAGTAATACTCTTAAATTAAATTTTACCAAACAAAGACAAGTTATATTCTGTTATTTAAGTAGAAATTGTCATTGAGGATTTATTTTACCTATTTGTGGATCACTTAATCAAATTAAAACCTCCAATAAAAAAAATAACCTTAATTACTAAGAACAGTGATTACTTTCTTTACTTTTTTCAAACAGGGAAAGAAACCTGACAAAGAACAAACCTGCATCAAACCAATTTTATAGAAAAAACCCCACTAAAATATTTTTACATGCTTTACTGTATACTGAATGTACATAGCAAACTTTCTAAATAGTCTTTCATTTAAAATTTCTGACATTTTATTGACTTTCATTTACATTTCCACTTAACATTTTTTTGTCATAGTTTCATAACAATAAATTTATATTTAATGTGTGATTTGATATCTGCCATTACAACAGATATTTATAAATTAAAATATCATATAAAATGGATCAAACATATAAATGTGTATTTTCAACCAAGTTGACATGAATTAAATGCTTTGAAAGTCATTTTTCTGTTATTTGATGTATGCCATATTGAGTTTCATATAAAATATTGTTCCTGAATTTTCAGAAACAATTATTTTCTCATTAATCAAACTCAAGCATAAGTTTCTGAATTGATTATATATCTAAGTACAAAAGAAAATGTTTCAAAAATCCAATTTACCAAATGCAGCTTTTAAAGTTTCACTTGAAATTACGTGTGGTTTATTCAATTTAACTATCGTCCTTCAATGTGCATGAAATACTTATTACTTAAGATTAAGCAAACATCAATCAAACGATTAAATGGAAAATGCTCTAACATAATAAATAAAGAAATTTAGAATTAAAAAAAAACCTGATATATGCTTTTAATGTCTTAAATAGTACAAGCCTATGCAAATGATTTTGTATTGTATTGAATAGCATGAATAGTTCAGTACCTTTGATTAACAAAGCTGTTTGAATATGAAATAAAATGAAATAGTAAGCAAAACTAATTTCATGCATACAAAATATTGTGATAGTACATTTGTAGTTCTTTAGTATGAATGAAGTCACATGCATTCCATATTTTCATTGTTACATTGACAAGGATGGACATGAAGGCATTACTGCACAGATGTGTGAGGTCACATTGCTTTAAAAATGTATATTCTTTAATACCAGGTCTTGTCTATGATCTAAGTATATCATGTAGTAAAGTCAAAGGGAAAAAACACAAAGGGCCACTAAAGATACATTGCAAAAAATGTACATTTCACTATCTGAATCATAAATCAAATTGAAGTTGATACACATGAGTATATGATACACATACAGTAACACAATTGTTATTGCAAGTTTTTTCTGACTAATTGATAGAGCTTTGGCAATACTCTGATCTCGTAGTCATGTCTAGGTTTGGGTAATCAAACATTAAATTGTCAACATATAAGTTTATTTCTAATTATTGAGTAATCAATTCATTACTACTAAATAAATAAAAAATCATACTGAACTTATGATTTTTAATGTTTGTATTGTGTATGAACTAAAGCATCATGTCAAATGTGGTAATTTATCTAATTTGCAGAATCTAATGTTCAATCCATGTACTTAAATTTGGTAAAATCTAGATAATACACAAACACTTGACCGTTTGACACATCCACATTGAAAAATGCACAGAACAACACTAACCAAAAATAGATTTTAACACATAAGTGTATTTTGAGTTTATCTATTAGTATAGATCACATCTATTCATGACAAAATATATTTATTTTAAGAAACATTTCTATGTGCATTTAACCAAAACTTTCCAGTGCATGGCAGGTGCTTTGTGCTTGAATTCCTGATTTTGTATATCCGTGATGTAACATATATACAATGTACTCAACAAATAAAGAAACACACCACCGCCATTAATCTTTTTGGAGTAAAAATTTCTATTGCAAACTACATGTACTGATTTAAAAGTCATTGAAATTATTGAAAATTGACACAACCTTTCTGAAGTCATAAACATAAAATTATGTGAAAATGAGAATTTTCTTAATTTTAGTTTTTGATATCTCAAAAAACCCATTTTTTTTACCAAAAACAATAAACAGCTGCGTCATGAGCGCATGATACGCCCGTCGTCTTGTGTGTGAATTTTTATGCAATAAGCATAAACAGTTTCTGACATACGGCGTGACATGCGAAAACCCCCCTTTTTTTTTAACAAAAAACTCAATCTCTCTAAAATTAAATTTTGAATCAAAACCAAAAAGTATACAGATCTTTAGATTAATATAACTAAGAAGTGTGTAAAATTTTAAGCAATAATCATAAATTGTTTTTGAGATACGGCACGACATGTGAAAACCCCCCCTTTAAAAAAAAAAAAAAATTCAATATCTCAAAAATAAAATTTTGAATCAAAACCAAAAAGTATACAGATCTTAAGATTAATATAACTAAGAAGTGTGTAAAATTTTAAGCAATAATCATAAATCGTTTTTGAGATACGGCGCGACATGTGAAAAACCCCTCCCCCTTTTTTTACAAAATACTCAATAACTCAAAAACAAAATTTTGAATCATCACCAAAAAGTATACAGATCTTAAGGTTAATATAACTAAGAAGTGTGTAAAGTTTTAAGCAATAATCATAAACTGTTTTTGAGATACGGCGCGACATGTGAAAAACCCCTCCCCCTTTTTTAACAAAATACTCAATATCTCTAAAATGAAATTTTGAATCATCACCAAAAAGTATACAGATCTTAAGATTAATATAACTAAGAAGTGTGTAAAGTTTTAAGCAATAATCATAAATTGTTTTTGAGATACGGCGCGACATGTGAAAAAAAACACACACCTGTTTTAGTTACCAAGTCCCGTAACTCAAAAAGTTTTAATCTTATTTTCACCAAAAAGTATACAGATCGTTTGACCATCATAAGAAACAACTATGTTAAGTTTCATGAAATTTGGATAAGTCATTCTCAAGTTACAGTGCGACATGTTTACGCCGGACAGACAGACGGACAGACAGACAGACGGACAGACAGATGGATGCCGGACATTTGTATACCATAATATGTCCCGTCAAAAATTTGACGGGCGTATAAAAAAATGGTCACCAATTTGTGTAAACTAAAATTGTGTGGACCTTTGCACTTGAAACAATGAATATGACCTTAGTTTTCAGTTTTTAATCGAATTCTTGTCTGATGCCCAATTTGAAATTTAATCGTAAGGTATCATTGACGAATTGTGAAAATAATCCAAAATACGTGAAAAGATTACATCAAATCCGCTAAATTTTATTTATTCAAGACAAAGTTTTCATAAAAAGTACAACAAAGTGGTAATCACTGCGCCTATGTTGATTCACAGAAAATGGCGCAAATTATACTGTAAACATGTTGAAATCACACGAGATCTAAACAACAAAACAAACAGCAGTAAATTTCAAAGTATATGACCCGATTTGCGTTTCAACTGACGAAAATGTCTTTGGTAACTGAAAGGCATTATTACAGACATTGTTTCTTTGTACAATAATGGACATGTGCTATTTCAACACTTCATGACAGGAGGAGATAACTCTGTCAGAATTGCCACAATAACAGTATGCCTAGTATTTTCTGTAATAACTTGTATATGTTATACCCTTGACTGCTAATTTTGGACAGGCTTATAAGAATTACACAATATCTTAAGGGTGAAATCATACCTAAAGAAGATTTCATGAAATTAAAATACATTATAAATTTTTACTTTATTATTATTTGCTTATTGGATTTATTGAGTTTACCAATGTGTAGCCAAAAGTCTTAAGGTTCATCATAACTTTTCAGCAAATATGGCCGTATTGACACCACAAATTTCACTCTGAGTATACAGACAAACCTGTGCACGTGGAAAAGTTTAAGATCATGGCTAGACCTAGATATTTAAAATTAAAATGCATTTTAAGTTTCAGAATATTAAAACTTAACTGTATTTTGCTATGCATTTTTTTCATTCCTGCAGAAGGTGCCAAAATAGACTTGGGATAGAGGTTTGAGAAGCTCCCCTCATCATGCTCATATTATTGAATCCGGGTCCGTTCACGCCCAATCACGTTCGCCCCCCTTTCACTTTCGCACCCTACACGTTCGCGCCCAATTTTTATTGGTTTTGTGTTTAATAATTTGTAAACAAGTTTTGGTAAGTGTATTGCTATTAATATATATTTTTTCATTGTTTCTAAATAAAGTGAGATTCTGACAAGGTTTTTTTTGTGTCATGTTAAATGTATTGCTATAAACATTTTTTTTCATTGTTTTTAAATAAAATGAGATTCTGACGACCAGTATTTTATTTTAGTGTTGAATAATTTTTAATCATGTTTTGGTTAGTGTATTGTTATAAATATTTTTCATTGTTTCTTGTAAATAAAGTCCAAATCTGACAACGTTATTTTGGTGTTGAATAAATGGTAAGCATGGTAAGTGTATTGCTATAAATATAGGGTGCGAATGTGTAGGGTGCGAACGGACATAGGGAGCGAACGTGTGGGGTGCGAACGTGTAGGGTGCAAACGTGTATTGGGCGCGAACGGACCCGATACCCATATTATTAATGTTGTGAGTTGTATTGATTGAAATGGACAATAGACATCTGCAAACAATGGGTGATTTAAACTGTATAACTTTTATATATATCTAAGCCATGCCTTAAAAGTTTTCTAGATGCATCGGTTTGTCTGTACTCAGAGCAGATTTTGTAGTGTAAACAGGCCATATTTTTCAATTTCCTTTCATGAACCTTAAAGGTGCACTGAACTACTAGTGCTACAACTTACATACTCTAAGTTTTTCAATATTATCTAAATAAAACAGGTTTTTATATGAATGCACAATCAAGAGTTTCATTTTTGCAAATGAACGTTTTACAAAATTGGAAATATTAATTATTATCAATATAATCCAAATAAATACAGAGTAATTTGCATAAATTTATCAATAAGCTAATCTGACATCTACCTACAGTAGATATGCGATTCATTAAAATGCCTGCATACAGTGCTAGGGGCATAGAGCATACATCTTAAAAGTGTTGGGGACATATAGGGAAATCTGCTTAAGTTCTACGAGAATATCAGTGATACCTTTCATTCCATAACTGTTCGGCCATATTGTTTGTGTGTATCGAAGGCTTCAGTAATTTTGGCCGCTCTGATTGGTCGCAAATCATACACGACCCGGAAGTGAAATATTGAACTACACACCACATGGTCAAAATGGGAGATAAACAACAAGATGAAAATGTTGAAAAATCTGACACCGAAGACGATGATGAGATGGAAATGTGTCAGATGGACGGAGCTGACGAGGAAATGGAAGATGAAAACGAAGACGATAAAGTGTATCTCCCTGGGGAGCCACTAGAAGAGGGAGAAGAGTTAGTGTGTGATGAATCTGCATACATGATGTATCATCAGGCACAAACAGGTCACATATTTTAAATTTCTTTAAAAAGTGATAGAAATTGAATAAAATTGTATATTCATTACACAATTGCAAATGAAAATTCATTGAAGAGTGTAACTGTAAGTGAGCATGACAATTGTGAGCTGTGTTGGTTACAAATAATCATGAGGTCTTGTACATGTTGTACAAATGTATGGCTATTTTAAAAATTTTGCTGTAATGTTTTCCTTCAAAAGGGCAGAAGGAAGAATTGCAGCAAATTTTTTTTTTAAATTACGCAGAGAAATCCAGAATGTAGATACAGGAACAATGTCATTATAGACAATCAAGTTTACTTTTGTGGCGAATCAGATTAATTTCTATTGCATTTTTACTACAGTTTCGTTAGATTCAACAAAAATTAACGTTACTTGAAATAATATTTAAGGAATGACTGCAATACTTTTTCTGTCTATGAAGAAATAACATAAAAAAATGTGGTGCTCACTGAATAACCCGCGTAGCCTTATAATTTAATTCTAAGGAGTAAAACATGAAAAAAACGTTGATGACGTCACAGTCAAGTGACAAAATTATTTCTATGAGCTGATAGATCAAAAACAATCAGACAATCAGAAGACGTTATACATCCAAAATTAGATTATAAAAGTATAACGTCATGGTACCCAAATTGCACCTAGAACCCAATTTGCACCCATTTTGCACAAAAAGCAACTTGTCAATCTTCTACATGTAGGCTTTCTTAAAAACGTAAAATTTATATTTTTTTAATTTGCCATTATGCACATCTTTCAACATAGCTAATTATACACCAAACTGTCACATAGCATATCAACAGCTCAAGTATCCACTGAAAAAAAGTAAAATTGACAGATACATGTATGTTGACGTTCACGAAATGTCAACTTTTAAAAAGGAACAATTGAAGTACATGTATGTCACAGAAATCTTACAAAATTCATAGTATATATGACCTATTGTGTTACTGTGTTGGGGCAAAAAAAAATGTGCTGGCAGTTCGTTTGATATACAAATATTCATGACAGTTTCACTCATTAACTCAAAAACATAAAACAACCGTTCGAAAAACTTCATGATGGAAGAAAATAAAATCCCAATCTACTGACCCTATTTTTTTGGACATGGCCTTGTTGTTTGTGCCAATCTAATGAGTTTAATCATTTTTAACTGAATTTAATAATTTGTTCTTATGTTGTGGTGTTACACCATTAAAAAAAATTGTGACAGGTCTCAGATTGAGTGCACTCAAAGATGTTGAAAGGAACACATATTAGATGTGCCTGTCTCAATTCAGGAGTCTGTAATTTAGTGGTTGTTATTGGTTCCTGTCTGTCATATTGAATTGTTTCCCTTTTTGTTATTTCAGGCCATTTATATAGCTGACTTAAAGGTACAGATTTTTCTCAATGTTCAAGGTGACCTATAGTAGCTTAATCAACGTCATTTGGACTTAGGTGAATAGTTGTCTCATTGGCAATCATACCGCATCTCCTTGTTTTATAATTTTCCTTCTCATTATATGTAGATTCTTGTCAACCTGACCTTACTATCACTGACCACTAATCAAGATTCACGTAAACAAAATTAAAACTTGGAACAATTTATATTTTACTAGGTGCACCGTGTCTCAGCTTTGATGTTATACCAGACTCTTTAGGAGACAAAAGAGAGACCTTCCCATTAACATGTTATTGTGTTTCTGGTTCTCAGTCAGAGCATGGACACTTGAATCATGTGATTGTCATGAAAATGGAAAATCTACATCGGACTACAAAAGAGAAAAAAGAATCAGATGAAAATGAAGATGAATCAGATGAGGATGAAGAAGAAGATGATGATGAAGAAAAAAAACCAGAATTAGAAACAGTGTCAATAAAACATAGTGGCTCTGTTAATAGAATAAGGGTAGGATATAAACCTTTACCCTAGTATAAATATAACTTCTTTTTAAATCAGGTACAAGAACATCAGTTAATACTTTTAGTAAGATATGATTAAATCTGGAAATGTTTTAAGAATATTAGAAAAATGGCTTTATCAAATTCATAGTTGTTTAAAAAAAGTACATATATACTGTAAAAAGTACAAAAGTTGCAAGTTTGAAAATCCCCTCATTCATGTATGTTTGTACTTTGGGTATCAGTTTTTTGTTTATTTCATTTTGTTTTCAATTTTGATTACCATATGAAATGAATATACCTGGTATCCAATTAAAATGTTGTAAGCAACTGCAATTGCAAATTTATTAAAAAAAACATGAACACACCTTTGATTTTTACACATTCATGACTATTTGAATCCACAAAAAAAAGTATTCTACATTTATAAAAGTTAACAGGATTTTTATGGCCCCGCCCACTTAGAACCGAGACATTAAGTTTTACCCTTATCCATCATTCTATCATTCCTTCATTCTGCAACAAACAGTTATACAGACTTTCTTTTATACGCCATCACATAGTGAGGTGATTTTTAGTATGTGGTTCTAATATGATGAGTTACAGATCAAGTTAACATTTGGTTGCGCTCTGCTGATACTTTGAAAATTTCCACTCCTAAAAATGACTTCAATCTTTTTTTGCGAGTTTGGGCCATTGGTGTTGTTTGAAAAATTCTTGAAAATAATAGTTATACATTTTTTTCTAAACACCTTCACATATTGAGCTAATTTGTAGTATGTGAGTCTACTATGATGAGTTACAGATCGAGTTTACATTTGGTTCCACTCCGCTGATTTTTGCTAAAATAACAGGCTTTGGACTTTGAAAATTTCCACTCCTAAAAATGACTTCAAGCTTGTTTTGCAAATGGGCCATTCCTGTTATTCGGACACATCTAGTTCAAAATTATTCTAAACAGCGGTTCAAAAAGGGCCAAATATGGCCCCTATTTCAGGTTTAAAAAATTTAAATTACAATTTAATGTCTATCATTACAAATAAATATTGTTGTTGAGTTGAAACAATGACTAATTAGGAAATAGGTTTTTTTTAAAAATTTACAAGTCTGCTATTTATGCCCCCGTTGTATTTAGTTCCACAGTAAGCAACGGAGCATTAAGTCTTACCCTTGACCGTCCTTTCTTTCATCTGTCCTTCCCATTTTTGTTTCTGCACTCTTAACTTAAGTTTTCTTCATCCAAATTTTATGAAACTCATAAATAATGCTAAGAAACAAAACTCGCACACAGAGTTCGAATTTTGGCAGTGAGTCACTTACCATACTAGAGTTATGTCCCCTTTAACTTGGAAAATTGCAAATTTTTTCGTTTCTGCACTCTAGCTTAAGTTTGCCTCATCCAAATTTGGAAAACTAATACACAATGTTAAGAACCACAATACATAGACAGAATTTGAATTTTGGAAGGTAAGTCATTTACCATTCTACAGTTATGCCCCATTTTAACTTGAAAAATTGCTAAGCTTGAGTGGGGCATTTGTATCCTCAGACACATTCGTCTTTTATTTTTTTATGATGTCATAATGAGCCAAAATTTCATTTTTGAACAAATTCAATTTAAACAGTCCAATTTTGAAGTAGTTTTTATATCCTAAAACACAATGTTTGTTATAACAAACACTCTATTTAGTTTGTTGAATCCTAGGGTCTATGTTTTCTATACCTAAATATGGTTAACATCCATAGGATTTTGTCAAAACTAATTTTGACATATTTTGTGTGTACATTTCAAAGCTTTATAAGAAAATGGGTACAAAAATATTTATAATTGTGTATTTCACTTTCTCATACGTTTATTCATCAACTTGAAACACTTGAAGTATCAGAACAAAAAAATATACTTTGCAAAAAATTACTGTTAATTTATATCATGCTTTTTTTAAAAATACAATAAAAAGTATAGGTACTGAGCAATGCTAAAATTGTTTTCAAGCTACAAGTTGTGTGAATTTCTCATATTCTGTAAGATTATGCTAAGATTAAAACCCACATTTCTGTGACAGAGAACTAAAGGATAGCATAAACTGAACTATCTGTGTTATCTCCCTTTATATAGTAAATATATATTAGTTTGTGTTTTAGTATTCTGTACATGAAACCTGGTGAGTGATACTGTCTCATCAAAGCCTTTAGTGAAATTATTTATCAGTTATATATAAAAAGACATTTTTTTTTATCTAAGGTAACAACAATTGGTCAAAAGAGTATAGCAGCTACTTGGTCAGAGAATGGCAAAGTGTATATCTGGGATTTGACACGGCCCCTTCATGCTGTTAATGACTCTAACATCATGTCAGTTTACATACGCAATGAAGAATCTCCACCTCCTATTTATACATTTAAAGGCCATCAGGTAGAGGGATTTGCTGTTGATTGGTCTCCTATTATGGAAGGTATGGGTATATAATATGAATGAATGTTCACCCAAATAAGGAAACATGAAAGATACCTTATAATCAAAGTAGAATTTGAAGGGTATTACTGTTTCATTAATTTCATTAAAAATAAAAGCTTTTGTAAAATATAAAATAGTTAAATATACATTTCTCCTCTAAACCATAGCAAACTTTATAGAGTTACAAATTTAGTTTTGAAGGGTAACAACTGTAGACCTTAATGCATAGTATTGTTGAGTTAACACAAGATTCACTAATGTCAAGTTTCCTTCCATTGTATTTCTGAATGTGGCATACATTACTAGCCCTTGATATAAAGAGGGCTATGTATATTTTGATATTGATCAACGAACTAATAAGTGAATATTATGTTTTATTTATCTTAATTTTTCTTAATGTAGTGTAGACTGTATCACAAAATATCTCTTTTCTTAATGTTAGTGTAAACTAAATCACACACTATTCTAAGCAATGATTTATCAACTTTTCATATCTTGGATATTTAAATGTCTGTACTTTTAGGAAGACTACTGACTGGTGATTGTAAAAAGAACATACATATGTGGACTCCAAAAGAAGGAGGAGCTTGGCATGTAGATCAAAGACCTTACAGTGGACACACCTCTTCAGTTGAAGATATACAGTGGTCTCCTAATGAAAACAATGTAAACATTTATTTTTGTAAAGCTTGAATTTTAATGATCCTTGAATGAAAAAAAAAATCCAATTAGAAAACTTTTTTAGAACATTAGGACCAGTGGCATAAAGGTTTTTTCCATTTGAATAAACAGATAAAAAATATATACACATAATAAAAAATATATACACATAATAAAAAATATATACACATATATTCCTGTTACCAGTGGTTAATTTTGAAATTTTGAACTATGTCATCAATACAAGTTCATTTTCTTTTTTATGCCCCCGCCGTAGAGGAGGTGGCATTAAGTGTTTCCCTTGTCTGTCCCCAAAATTGGTTTCCATTCTCTAACTTTAGTTTGCCTCAACCAAATGTTATAAAACTTAAACAAGACAGATCAAGTTTGAAATTGGGTAACGTCACTTTTATCGTTCCTAAGTTATGCCCCTTTATAAACATAAAAATTTCTGAATGTTTCATTTCCTTTTTCGAACTTTAGTTTGCCTCAACCAAATGACGTCATAATGAAAAACTGAGATCTTGATTAAATAAAAATAATCAACAGGTCAGAATATATCGGCTAAGAATGAGAGAAAATTTGTTAACTGATCTCAAAAAAACATATGACATTGTCAGGTATGATGGTATATCCCTTATGTGTTTATTTATAGGTTTTTGCCTCGTGTTCTGTAGACAGATCAATCAGAGTATGGGATGCAAGAGCTGCCCCTAATAAGGCATGTATGTTGACTGCTGAAGAGGCTCACGACAGAGATGTTAATGTTCTACACTGGAATAGGAACGAACCATTCATAGCTTCAGGGGGTGATGATGGTGTTATTAAAGTCTGGGACCTGAGACAGTTTCAGGTAATGGTTGCAATTCCCAATTTTTTCTGGTTTTCACTGGACATTTGGTTCTGTAAAGAGTGAGCTATTAAAGGACTGAATAAACTTTTACTGGACCAAATAAATCTCAACATTTTAAATCCTTCTGGCAAAATTTGTTACCAGAGGCTGTGAAATTAGTTTGCTGAACAAGAGAATAATCCAGCTAAAATAAAATCATGGTACATATTTGTTCAAATGGAAAGCTAGATATGCTAACTAATGTGTAAATTATCTCCCTTGACAATATTGTTGACATACTTATTCATGGATGCAAATTTTTTTGCAGATAAATTATTGTCATACTTTGATTAAGATATACCTTACATATCACAAGACAATGCAGTGAATAAATTTTCTTGTACTGTGGATTCATTTATTTTCGTGGGTATCAATTTTCGTGGATAGAGAAAAAAAGACGTTTCGTGGTATACGTAAATTCAGGGATCGCTGATTACAAAAAAAAAAAAAAAATCAAATATGTAATTCTTGGATTTCTTTTTGATTTTGGAGATCATATAACCTCCTTGGTTTGATCAATAATAGAACAAACAAAAAAGAAGGAATTCATTGAAAAAGTTTTGAATTGTCAAAATCCTCGCTTGGTCATTCTAGGTTAAAGTGTTCATTGAAAACTTCTATTACAATAATGGACAGAGACAACTAATTATTTGTTTGTTTTACAATTTATAGATTCTTGTCGGAATTTTATAAGGCATTCAAAATTCTATGATTGAAAGCTCAGTTCCCTAATCACGATATAATAAACAGTCATATAAGTAAAAGGTGTGAAAATAAATGTTCCTGTCATAAACAATATTACCTACGGGCAATATCCCTGTACTTAATCCTATTGATTTTTAATCACCAGTAAACCAAACTATGACACGGTAATTAACACCTTGCAGTTATTTTCCATGAACAGTTTTAATCAATTTTAAAAGGTAAATTATCACTGATATTCGATATAATTATTGTTGATTTAATCAAAACACTTGTATCTTCTTTCAATAAAAACACGTGTTATGTTACAATGTTTATCGCTAGTCAACACTATACTAGAACTGCATAACATAACCGGAAATAAACATCCGACTCCATACACATTTCTCGGGATTATTCTTCGTTGAATTCTTAAATTTGTGGTTTGCTGTGACCCACGAAACCCACGAAAATTGGTATACCACGAATAAAAATGAATCCACAGTACATCCATTTTCATGGTTTTATTGATCCATAAAACTACAAAAATTTGATACACAACAAAAAAATACTTTGACCCAAAACATTGTTAAAATAATGCAGGAGCAAGTGCAAAGTACAATTCAGAACTGAGAATTTCTGTAAAAGGCTGACATTAATCCAGTCAATGGTTAAGAGGAGTTGCACACACAGGATATGCTTAAATGTTATTAGGTACTAAAATTTCACAAGTAAAATTCATTCACTGGTATAGGTGAAATAGTGGCTACAATGTGTTAACAGGCAAATGAACAAAATAATGGACACAATAATCAGTAGATGCCAGTAATATAAAATGAGATGTGAGAGACTGGCTATTTATTGTAAACAATGATATAATGATTTTTTTTATCTTCATTGTCACATTTTATACATAGTTAAAGAAAAGTCAAATGAAAGCTTACTTGACACTTTTGTGTATAATAGCTGTATTTAGTCTCCGAACGACCATAGATCTGTCTCCAAATAACCATCTGAAGTCATGCATGTAACAATTACTTTTAAATTACTGGTACGATGTCAAAAAATAATATATTGTGGGAACTTTTGTGGTTTTACACAATGTACCTAATGGCTGAGAAATTTGAAAACAAATGTAAATACCGGTATGTCATTTGTTACAGGTAAAACAAAAATATCAGCTACTCTAGTCTACCAAAATTTACAACCATTTTTACCTAAATTAGATTAACAGTTTGTTAAAAATATATTTTAAATTGTTTTTTTTTAATTTTAATTTTTACAGAAGGGTAAACCAGCAGCATCATTTAAACATCACACAGCACCAATAACATCTATAGAATGGAATCCTTATGATAGTTCTGTGTTTGCTGCATCTGGTTCTGATAACCAAATAACAATATGGGATTTGTCAGTAGAAAAAGACAATGAAGGTGAAGGGGAACCAGATGTTCCGCCTCAGTTGTTATTTATTCATCAAGGACAGACAGACATTAAAGAATTACACTGGCACAAACAGTTACCTGGTGTAATAGTTAGTACAGCGCATAGTGGTTTTAACATCTTCAGAACGATAAGTGTGTGATCATTAAATGATTTTAATATGGTTAAGTAGTCTATTTTCTATGCCTTGATCATTCATTAGACCAAAGAAAATATATTTTTATGTTCATTTTCATGCTCATATAAATAAAGGATTGATAAATACAAAAGAGAAAGAGTAAGGTGTGGATGTACTTGAGACAATTTATTTAAATACTTTGACATGAGCAATCTAGTGCATATATTTTGTATTGATGGATCTAATTGGATATTGACAAAAGTTCAAAATAAGAAAAATCTAAATACAGTATGCATTGTTTTTTACCTGTGTCACCAAAGGCGGAAGCAGGTCTAGTATCCGCTCGACCCACTCTGTCTGTCCGTCCGATAGAAATCTTTTGTCACAAAGATCTCAGCTTCTATGAAAATGAATGATTTAATATTTGGTCTGCAACTTTATAATATTGAGTTGTAGCAAGTAAGCAATTTATATACGCCCGTTTACAGGATGTATTATGGTAAACCGTTGTCCGTCTGTCCTGTCAGTCCGTCCATCTGTCATCAACATGTCGGACAATAACTCAAAAATGCTTTAACTTATTAACATGAAACTTTGGTGAATTGTTTATATCTATTGACGTGAGCTTCCTTTTGATTTTCATAAATTTTAGATTTTAGGTTTCAGAGTTATGGGGTGTTATTCATTAAAAAATGGGATTTTTCCAGTTTTCGGACAATAACTCAAAAATGCTTTGAGCAGTTTTCATGAAACTTTGGTTTATTGTCGAGCCTTCGACTTTAGTTGAAAAAGCGCGACATAGCGATCCTACATTCCGTCGGCGGCGTCATCAGCGGCGTCCACAAATATTCACTCTGTGGTTAAAGTTTATGAAATTTTAATAACTTTCTTAAACTATCCTTGATTTCTACCAAACTTGGACAGAAGCTTGTTTATGATCATAAGATAGTATCCAGAAGTAAATTTTGTAAAAATAAAATTCCATTTTTCCGTATTTTACTTATAAATGGACTTAGTTTTTCTGCCGGGAAACATTACATTCACTCTGTGGTTAAAGTTTTTAAAATTTTAATAACTTTCTTAAACTATCCTTGGTTTGTACCAAACTTGGACAGAAGCTTGGTTATGATCATAAGATAGTATCCAGAAGTAAATTTTGTAAACAAATACCCTGTTTATCCTTATTTTACTTTTAAATGGACTTAGATTTTCTGCTGGGAAACAACACATTCACTCTGTGGTTAAAGTTTTTAAAATTTTAATAACTTTCTTATACTATTTTGGATTTGTACCAAACTTGGACAGAAGCTTGTTTATGATCAAATGCTAGTATCTAGAAGGAAATTTTGTTTTTTTCCAGTTAACATTACATTCAGTCTACAGTTAAAGTTTTTAAACATTTATTAGATTCATAAACTATCCTGGATTTTTACCAAACTTGGACAGAAGCTTCTTACAATCAAAAGATAGTATCAAGAGGAATATTTTTATTGATTTACTTCCTCATTTTTGTTGAGCCTGCGATTAAAAGAAAAAGTAGGCGAGACACTGGGTTCCGCGGAACCCTTACAAATTTTTGTTTATATCTAATGATGTGAGCTTCCTTTAGATTTTTATAAATTTTAGATTTTACGCTTCCGAGTTATGGGGTTTTATTTATTAAAAAAGGTGGATATTCCAATTTTCGGACAATAACTCAAAAATGCTTTGAGCAGTTTTCATGAAACTTTGGTGAATTGTTTATATATCTATTGACTTGAGCTCCCTTTTGATTTTTATAAATTTTAGATTTTAAGTTTCCGAGTTATGGGGTTTTATTCATTAAAAAAGGGGGATTTTCCAGTTTTGAGGCAACAACTCAAAAGTGCTTTGAGCAATGATAACTGGTTTATATCTATTAGAATAACCTCGCTTTAGTTTTTTATAAATTTTTTATATGACATTGAGCAGTTATGGAACTTTATTCTTTGAAAAAGCGACGGGCGTATCATGCGCTCATGGCAAAGCTCTTTATTACAAATGCCAAATATCCACTTCTTGCTTGCCAATAGTTTGTAATTTGACAGCTTTCATTGTACAAGTAAAATTTTCGTAAAAATTTTCTCTGCTCCTGTTTATTGGAATGACTTCATATTTGGTCTGCAGCTTAATAATGTTGTTGTAGTGAATTAGCAATTTCACAATGTATCCACTTCCTGTGAAATTTAAAAACACTCATTGAATAAGAAATTTTTTTTGTACAAGTTTTCTCGTCTCCTATTGACGTGAATGATTTAATTTTTGGTCTGCAGCTTGATTATGTTGAGTTGTAGTGAGTAAATAATTTTTACATCTGCGGTATAGTCACTTCCTCTTTGCGGATAGTTTGAAATTTTATAACACTCATGGTACAAGGAAAATTTTCATGAAAGATTTCTTTGCTTCAGGGAAATTGAATGATCAGTTATGCTCCACTCAAATAAACATGTTACTTCAATCAATTGCATGCAGTACTGCAGGTTCAGACCCGGTATTGGTCTTGTTCTTATAAAAAACTTTGAATGATTTGTGCAATGTGAGTGTTTTTAAATGAAGCTATGAGATATTGTGCATATATATTTTAATCATGAACTATGCAGGACTCGTTTTCTTGCTACAAAACAAAAAATTCATAACACCTTCCTTTAAAAAAGTTACAATAACATGGTTATCTCCCTTTGTTTGGTGAAGTTAAAACAAAAAATATTTTGTTTTTGTAAAAAACAGTAGAAAAAATATAATAAAACATATTTTTCTTCATTAAGATGTTAAGCCTAACAAATGAATTACATTCTTACAAAATTTGGACTTTTAATTAAAGATCTAGATGGATTGTGTTCTGCTATTTTAAAATCCCAGATGGCAGAAGACACCTGATCTACCTTAAATCACCTTTTAAGTTTCAATAGTTAATTTTATTTTCAAATATGACCCATTAAAGTGAGATAATCATTAAATACACTAAAATATTGCTTATCCTTTCTGAAAAACAGAAGCCTAGGCAGTTTAAGTGACTTCTAGTTGCTATCATCTATGACATCTGGTCTCTGGTGGATATTTCTCTCATTGGAAATCATACCACATCTCATTATTTTTTTCTAATCACAAAAACTTAATTTTGACCTAAGAACCATGAAAGTGAGGTCAAGGTCAGATGTACCATGCCAGACAGACCTGTACACTTTGCTATCAATTCATACACCAAATATCTACCTATTGCTTGTAGTATAAGAGAAACAAATGATACCATGAAAACTAAACATTGACCAATGAACTGTGAAAATGAGATCACCATCAGATTAAGCCTGCCAGACTTACATGTACGCCCTACTTTTATTCCTTACATCAAAAATAGTTAACCCACTGCATATAGTACCTGAGAAACTGACAACCATGAAAATTTAACATTGACCAATGAATCATAAAATGTGGTAAAGGTCAGATGAACCCTGCAAGACAGACATGTATACATTTAATTCATTCAACACACCAAATAAAGTTGACCAATTGCTTATAATGTCTGAGAAACACATCAAACCATGAAAAGTCAATACTGACTTATGATCAAAGCACATGAGGTCAAGGTTAGATGAACATTGCCAGACAGACATGTATACCTTGCAATCATTCCACACACCAGCTTTTGTTCATCTATTGCTTATAACAATTGATAAACTGGCAACCTTCAAAACTGAACATTGATCAATGAACCATTTAAAAAAGTCAAGGTCAGATGAAACCTGCCAGACAGACATGTTTACAAACATTTGATTCCATACATCAAATATAGTCGACCTATTGCTTATAGTATCTGAGATCTAAGATCTGACCATGAAACTTTAAACTTGACCGTTGATCCATGAAACTGAGGTAATGGTCATATGAAACCTGCCAAAAAGAAATGTACTCTTACAATCATTACAAACACCAAATATAGTTCACCTTTTACTCATAATAAGTGAGAAATTTATAGTTTTTTAAGCAGTTGCTGAACCATGAAAATGAGGTCAAAGGAAAATAACACATGACAGTCAGAAACTATGTATCATAAGGCATCTGTATACAAGGTATGAAGCATCCAGGTCTTCTACATTCTGTAATAAAAAGCTGTATACAAATAATTATGTACGCCATTGTCAACGCTGCTGGATAAGAATCACATTCCATGACCTTCAGGATACAACTAGTTGGCCCAATTGGTTCAGATTAATGTGGCAAGGCAATAAGCTGATTTTTCATTGTGAGCTAGCACTTTAAAAATGTCTTAAGGGGTCTATTACAAAAAGCAGGGTATCTCAATAACATGTCATCCTGAGTAAACATGTTAGATTTCTATGAACATTAATGAATCAAACAGTTTGTAGATAAATATTGAGTTAAGCCAGTTTATATATTTCTATGCAGAAAATACACATAAAATCCCTTTTAGAATTCTTTTAGACAAAAATTGCCAGATAATCCATATTGCAAACTTTTCAGCTCCCCCCCCCCCCAAAAAAAAGATTCCAAATATTATGTTATATACATCAAATATATATTAAAGTTAAACACCAAAAGGCTTAGTGATATCAGAAAAAGAATATATTACTATTTTTATTGCATAAATTCAAAATATCACAGATATAGTCTTCATTCTACCATTTTATTGTCAATGCATTTGTCATTTTTTCTACTTCATGATATTGAGTATGCAGTAGTTTTCTACTTCTCTCGGACCCAACTTCACCTAACCATTCATTATATACATCAATCACAGTTTTTAAGCTATCAGGCAAACTATTGTCTATTGAATTATATGTTGCTGTTACACGATCTACAAGTTCTTTTGGTGTTTCCTCTCCTTCAGGTCTGATTTGTCCACCACCATTATTACAACCTGAGGGACAAGCCATAATTTCAACAAAGTGGTATGGACACTTTCCTCGTTTTATCTTTTGAACAATGTTCTGAATATTTCTAAACCCATAAGCTAATGCCATTTTGATGACTGGCTGTCCTGGTACTTCTAAAGTCACTTCTTGAAAATCTTGGTTCCTAGAAATGTAAATGGTAAATAAAGAAAAAAAAATCCAAAAAATTCTATTTGGCATAATCTGTACTCGTATCTTAAGTATAAAGCAATTTAACTTTCCCTTTAATTGTAGCTCTCAAAAAAGCAATACTCTTCATTAATGTAGCTACTGAATTAACAAAAATTTTTGCTTAGTCTTTGATCACCAGGTTACAACGGAATTTTTTTTACAGATATTGGTCTTTTTTCTTAACCTGAAATTAAAATTTTATAATTCATAATCAATAAACAATATCATCTTTGAAAAAATATACTATAAAATGCTCTTTAAGTTATTATTGCTTTAATAGGTGTTTTGAAGTAAGTTTTCACAAAAAATCTGGAAAGTAGAAAAAATCTACGAAGAAAGACTATTCTTTACAGAATTTATCATAACAATGAAAAAGATGAAGATTAGAGAAGCTCTAAAAATGAAAGATCTATAATGATAAAACTGTCACCTTAAAACTTTATAGTCTATCTGTGTGACATCCTGTCCAAAGAGATTATGTGCAGTATACTTCAGTATATGTTCTAGATAGCCACCTGATCCTCCTCCAGCATGATTCAATAACTGACCTTCATGTATCTGTGTAAATCTGAAATATTAATACTGATGGTAGATATTTGGTAGTCTTTAGAGCGGTATATGTTGTATAGACACTTGTATATTGTGGAAGACCAAATGTGACCTCTAGTTTTTTGTCTGTTGTTGAGTTGCTGTCTTTTTGACTAATTTCCCATATCTCCTTTTACACAAACATAGTTTTCTGTATAACTATTCCATACCACTAACCTAAAGCATTTTCCAGAAAAGTATTTCCAAACGACTGACTTTGGCTCTTAATATAAGTTATTCCCAGTTTTGGGAAGTAGAACTGGTTATTAAAGTGCAATGAACCTATTATCGACAAGATAATAATTTAAGTTATACATGCCCTAATTCAATTGTGATTTAAATGAAGAATAAGCACGAATGGTCCTCTTAGGCTCAGAAATTAACGTATTTCAAAATTATATTTGTGAGTGGGAGATATTGAGTACATGGAAGTACCACAAAAAATTTACATGAGAGGTTTTGTTCATACAGTTCAAAGATCAAGGTGAATTATTAAGTTGGTACCTGCATGTGCTCTATATTTGTAGGTCCAAACACTATTAAAACAATAGTGCACATGCTGAAATGTCTCGCCTGCTTTACTGACCATTAATTTTATGTTGATAGTCCTAAATATAAAGCTTTACTACAAGTATCACATAAACTTAACATGATCCAAGAAAATGAGGTCAAGGTCAGATAAACTAAACCGGAAATACATGTACACCTTACAATCATTCCATACACCAAATTTAGTTGACCTATTGCTTATAGTTTCTATGAAACAAACTTAATCAGGAAAACGTAACATTGACCAATGAACCATGAAAATGAGGTCAAGGTCAGATGAACCATGCCAGACAGACATGTACACCTTACAATTAATCTATGCATTAAATATAGTTGACCTACTGTTTATAGTATCTGACAAAACAAACTTAACCATGAAAACTTAACATTGACCAATGAACCATGAAAATGAGTCCAAGGTCAGATGATACCTGCCAGACAGACATATACACCTTACAATCATTCCATACTTCCATACACCAAATAAAGTTGACCTATTGCTTACAGTTTAAGAAAAACAGACCAAAACACAAAAACTTAACACTGAGCAATTAACCGTGAAAATGAGGTCAAGGTCAAATAAAATCTGCCAGAATGACATGTACATCGTAAAATATTTCCATACACCAAATATAGCTGACCTATTGCGTATAGTATTAGAAAAAAAGACCAAAACACAAAACCTTAACTTTAACCACTGAACCATGAAATTGAGGTCAAGGACAGATGACACCTGCCAGTTGGACATGTACACCTTACAATCATTCCATACACCAAATATATGAGACCTATTGCTTATAGTATCTAATATATGGACTTGACCATGAAAGCTTATCCTTGTTCACTGATCCATGAAATAAGGTAGAGGTCAGATGAAAACTCATGAGGACCTTGCAAGATACGCATATACTAAATATAGTTATCCTATTACTCATAATAAGAGAGAAATTAACATTACAAAAAATCTGAACTTTTTTTTCAAGTAGTCATTGAACCATGAAAATGAGGTCAAGGACCATGGACATATGACAGATGGAAACTTCATAACATAAGGCATCTATATATAAAGTATGAAGCATCCAGGTCTTCCACCTTCTAAAATATAAAGCTTTTAAGTAGTTAGTTAACGTTGCCGCCAGATCACTATCCCTATGTTGAGTTTTCTGCGACAAAAGTCGCAGGCTCAACAAAAAAAATCAAAATCTTGAAATTTTCAAGAAAATGTGTAAAAGGGACTTTCAATGATGTCACAACAACATTTATTGTGACAGCATGGATCATAAACTAAGTTTTGTTTTCATTATCTTCCACAATAAAACTAAAATTCAAATTTCAAATTTCAATAAAAAGTTATGTCAGATAACACCCTTATCACACCCTCCTTTATTCAATTTGCAGAATTGAAGGTCCTTTATTCAATTTGCAAAATTTAGCGTTGAAACTAAGACTTGCAATAAAACTTCATGAGTATCATCAGCCATAAAAAAACTAGAAAAAGTTGTGCTCACATATTATCAATTTCAGCTGGTTCAACATCATTCAGAGATATTCCTTCCTGCTCCAACATTTTATCAACTTCAACTGAAAAACAGCAAAAATCTATCTTATTATATCATGTACATGAAAAAGTCATTAAATCTTTCTTTAAGAAGATCACTAGGGTTTAGGAATGAAGATATATTTGTTTGGTTTTTTTTTCTGGTGAAGTTTTATACCTCTTTCTGTTTAGTTTTTGATAAAAAAGCCTTTTTTTTGTCTCATTTTAAAAACTATTTTACTATTTAAAGCAAACATATATATATATACACAAGTCTAAATTGAAAACAAAGTTCAAACCTATGATTGCATAGGATAATAAACAGCTGCGCCACGAGCGCATGATACGCCCGTCGTCTTGTGTGTGAGGTTTTATGCAATAATCATAAATCGTTTCTAAGATACGGCGCGACATGTGAGAATCCCCCCTTTTTTTTATAAAAAAATCAATAACTCTAAAATAAAATTTTGAATCATCACCAAAAAGTATACAGATCTTTAGATTAATATAATTTAGAAGTGTGTAAAGTTTTAAGCAATAATCATAAATCGTTTTTCAGATATGGCGCGACATGTGAAAACCCCCCCTTTTTTTCCAAAAAACTCAATAACTTTGAATCATCACCAAAAAGTATACAGATCTTTAGATTAATATAACTAAGAAGTGTGTAAAGTTTTAAGCAATAATCATAAATTGTTTTTGAGATACAGCGTGACATGTGAAAAAAACACCCCCCTGTTTTAGTCACAAAGTCCCGTAACTCAAAAAGTTTTAATCTTATTTTCACCAAAAAGTATACAGATCGTTTGACCATCATAAGAAACAACTATTTTAAGTTTCATGAAATTTTGGATAAGTCGTTCTCAGTTACGGTGCGACATGTGGACGCCGGACAGACAGACAGACGGACGCCGGACATTTGTATACCATAATACATCCTGTCAAAATTTTGACAGGCGTATAAAAACCTCAATTTTTATATGTGTGCATACAAAAAAAAAAATTCTTAGTAGAGGGGTCTAAATACAGCACAAACAACATTTTCCAAAAGACCAAAAATAGTGAAAAGGTACATTTTAACAAAACGCATTTGACTAGCAGGTCGAACAACGGATGTTCTTAAACCCTGCTGACTGCCATGGCGATTGCCAAATAAACTGATCAACAGATCATGCAGATGTAACAAAATGGATCTTAATTATTAAATTAATACCAAACAGAAAACAATAAACTTGCGGAAAAGATAGTATACCGCAAACATATATATATATATATGTGAACGTTGTTTTCAATTTAGATTTGTATATATATATATATATATGAGAAACTCATGTTACATAATTTATTCCTTTCAAAGAACATACAATGGTGATGACATTGCAATTCTTCAACCACTACAGAAACTAATGTCTATGTCTATATAAATATAATCAGTCATACCCATTGTTTGAGAGTTCACATGTAAGAATATACAGTTTGGAATTTCTAAAAAATATTATTACTCATACACAAAATGGGAAAGGTAAATAGTGAAAATTACCTGAGGTTATGACACAATCTACATCTCTTGTACTATAGATGTCGTTGTAGAAATCTGATCTTGATGCCTCTAGTTTCTTATCAAAACAAGGCATAACTGTCACATGATAGATCAGGTTGGCTGGTACCCCCCTACTGGATGCCATGTAATCTTTGACTAGAGAACCCATAATCTGCTGTGGAGATTTAGTTGTACTAATGTATGGCAGGATGTAAGAACCATGTGTTTTCTCTGCATAACAAATCCAACCTGCAGTTGTCACAAAAAGAAAAAATATTTTTACATCTACAAATTTCATATACTACTTTAATTTACATGCCATTAAAAGAAACATGCTTTTTACAACTGATTTTTTCCAATACTCTTGGTATACTTTGAATATTAACGATAGACAGCAGTATTTATTCTTTATTATTGTAGTTGTTAATATTGATAAAAAAAAAGTTAAGTAGCATGTTGAATAGAAGTTTCAAAATATTTTTTTTTTAATCATATGAATGTGTATTATGCCATTTATTTATGATCACATAATATGTGTATCAATAACCTTAATGGTACCACTGGCAAATTCAAGTATCAACTGATAATAAAATACAATGTTTCTTATTTTGAAATTTAAACCAGCATGATATTAACCTGGACAAGCCGACGACAACATTGGTAAGGCTGTTTTGTTTGTTTCTGATTCCTTATATCTTTGTACAAATTCTCTACAACTCTCTAACAAACTGAAGTTCCTAGAAAATGTGGTATCAAAAACATAGTGTACACCTGTAAATATAAACAAACAAAACTTAAAAATTAATATTGACATGCATAGTACACATCACTGTTATTTTCCTTTGTTGAACAAGTTGATATTCTTTCTGTACATGTACAATGCATGCCAATTAAAAATTGTCTATACTTTCAAGAAGTTTCGCTAATGTGACGGAGAGCAAAAGGGTTAATGAGAAAGTTTTCATTTATACCATTTTTTTTATACAGAAAACTAGGTAAATACTGACATTCTCTGTAATTTGTAATAAACAGTGTAGTAATTTGGAACTTTTTTCAACTATATTTCTAGTTTATTTGCCAAGAATAAATACTTTGATTTATTCTTTCTCCTACAATGTATGTTACTATTACCAACTATTCAGCCTATACAGGAATACAGAGACCACTCTGAATGCATGTCCTATTGTGTTTTTTCAGATTGTACTAAGCTTTTGTAGGAGTCTGCCCTATCAAAGCATCACCTAAAGCTTGTTCAACTCTTTGTGCAGTTGCAAAACCCACCTGTTGGAAATAGAGTTGTTTGAATAAAATCCAGGTTTTTATTTCAAATTACAACAAAAGTACGCCAAAACATAATTTGTTCATATAAACTCATTCATAGAATTTCTAAAGATCTGATATAATCAGATAATATTATAGCATATTTTTTTTGGCAAAGGCCTTAATGAGAACTCTAACACTTGCATCATGTTTGAAGGAACCTAATCCAACATTTTTTTTTCATAATCAATTGGAGCTTTTACCATATCATTATATTCCCAAAATACTGGTTTGAAGCTGTCCTTTGTTTGCCTGTTTCAAATTTATTTTCAAGTGAACATATTATATAGATAAATACCTAGTTTCTTGAAGAATCCTGTCAGTTTGCCAGCAGTTTCTTGTACAGATAGTTTATACTTGGCAGCTAGTGAGGCTCTACACTGGGGAGCTATTGACACAACTACTAACTTCTGTTGCTCAGCTTGTCCTGTCTGAAATAAAGACTTTATACAAATATTACACAATCATGGTATAGAAGCAGAACAGTAGCTCCTATGATCCTTGTGATGTTTTTGGATACAGATAAATGTCTGCACAAATCATGCACATCAGAAAATCAGTCCCATAGCTAGATCACAATGTACCTTCTTCTACAAAATTTCTTTCAGTATACATGTTAAATTTTAATTGTTGGATTTGTTTGTCTCATTAAAACAGATAAAATGTATTATGATTCTGTTTTAGAAACAATTTCTATAAAAAAAAAATAATCACATACATGTATCTGCAATTTTAAGGTATAATCATTTTTATGATTTACTATATTTATTTTTCTTTCAAGAGTGATATATAAAATGAACAAAGACATAATGATTTGTGGTGCCTTTACAGGTTTACATATGAACAACATATATGCAAGTGTTTTAGTTAGAAAAAAAATAGTTGATAGGCTTCACATTCTCATTTTCAGGCAAATTATATGAGAAAAGTTGATGTTATATGATTAAACCAATATTTTTTATGCTTTCTGCAAGTCATTTACACATCTGTGATTTTATTATATGCCTTTAATTCAAAATTAAGTCCCATTTTAAAATCCTAAGAGATGACAAAGAACCAGCTTGGCTACCTCTGACAATATAATCAATTTCACACCAGTTTTTTTTTCTCATTCTTAAAAATGGAGCCTCTTATGCACATGATGTAAACATCAAAATGGCAGACATCAAGGAAATATTTCTTCATAATACTTTCTGCTGTATGTATCAAATCTTTCTTGAAATATTTCCATTTGAATTGAAAATAATGTTTAGCCTGTTATAACACTTCTACTACAAATGTATTTTCACAACATTACAAATGTTTCAAACAAAATCACTTATTTAAGTAGCAAATTCAAAATTTTGTCACAAATTGTGATTTTGTAGTTTTACCAAAATTTTATTAAACACATAGGTTTAGATTATACCTTATTATTAGTAAAATTAAAAAAAAAAATGAACCTTTTGCTATTTTTAAGTAGAAAGGTTTATGCCTTTGATGCAATCAGTTAGCTGTAAATTCTATTTTTGTTGAAAAAAATGATATAATGAAGGCTTTACATAATGAACTGATACTTTCTTAACAGATTTTTCCCAGCAGTGGGAGTATTTTTCCTGTAAAATTCAAGGTTTCATCTTACAGATTATGTAATAAAATTTTACTGTTCGCGATCAAAATTTCACTGTTCGGGGGTGTTGAAAATTAGTGGGAGTTATTAAAATAATAATACTTAAAGAAGTGATTTTTTGGAAGAAAATAGAGGTATGATACTTGAACAAATGATTTTTATGTCATTATCCCAGATTGAGTACAAGGTCATCACCTGACAGGACTGGTCATCCTATCGACACAGATGTTAGTTCTGATAATTTTAGCAACATAATTAGCCCCTGGATCATTAGTATTGTATATCTAAAGCTACAATAAAATTAAATCACTTAGTCTAGTGATTTATTTGTACTACTTAAATAGGTGATTATTAAAGAAAGACAACTCTTACTTCCAACATTTGTGAACAAAATGTTACATGAATCAGTGATTTAGAAATCATTCATTTAAGTAAGTCCCCTGACTGTACTAATACTAATGCAGTCAACGTATCCAGATTAGGCTGTATTAACTTCTCTTTAGCTGCAGGCAAAATAATAAATGTATGTGTGTACATGTACCTCTTGCAACCTCAAATTTTCTTTCAGTACTTTATAAAGTTCCTCTTGACTTTGCTGAGTTATGAGTACACTCTCTGCTGATGTAATGCACCCACTACAAGCCAAACAGTCATTCAATGTAATCTTTGCCTTCTCTAGTCTGGTTTCCTGTCCTTCATCATTAATAGATAGATAAGAACCATCATCTTCAATTCTTATTTTGCCAACTTTTCCAGGTTTTCTGTCAATTTTAACTGGTTTGATACATTCCTGGAATAAATAAGGAATGTAATTGTTTTGTAATAGATTAGGCCGCTAGTTTTCTCAATTGAATTGTTTCATATTTTTCATGTCGAAGCCTTATATAGCCGACTATACTGTATGGTTTTTTTCTAATAGTTGAAGGCCGTACGGTTACCTATAATTGCTTACATCCACTTCATTTGAACTTTGGTGGATAGTTGTCTCATTGGCAATCATACCACATCTCCTTATCTTTATATAAATTATTATTTTTAGGATAAAACCCTCAACTGTGTTGTCTTTATGCAATGGATTTTTTTCTGCACATCACATACAACAGAATCATGTTACAATTGTCTTTCACATGTTCACATGTTCTGTATATATGTTTGATTATGACTTCCACTATTCCAGTTAGTTTCTAAATTGATATGTGTGAGTATTAATTTAGAATCTGGTGCATGCATATACACTTTAAAAAATTTCCTAGGTGGTTTCCTGTATTCTTTTTTTATTTTGGCAGCTTTAATCAACTTTCAAACTTATCAGATTTCATGATGCATTTGTTGCATTTGGAGTTATACAACTCATGCGAAAGACAGCAATTTTATCCATCATCAGTAATGGACTTGACAACATTAAAGCTACAAAGAATTGAAAACTTGTTATTTCTGGATAGCTGAGTGATTGTACATACAAACCACCAACAGAAACAAAAAGATAAGTCTTGTTTTTTGTTGATGCCGGTCCCTACTTTGTATGATTTTAATGGAAATCAGGTTCATAAAATGTGCCAGTGGGGAACAGATTACAATATTTGAATTTTTTTATCTTTCCTGTCTTGTGGAAAATAATAATAGAGTGTCAAAATTTATAAACTACTGTTATTGTAATATCTTTTGGAAAAGATCAAGAACACATTATGTGAAAAAAAGAAAGAATATTTACTGAAAAAAAAAATTAAAACAAAAAAATATTTAAAAAGATGGAGGTCCATTCCCCAAGTGCTGTGTACAGTACATGTGCATTTCATGAGACAGAGAAAGACAGGAGGATTTTGAAAATAAATAATCTGACCAGGAAGAACTCAAATAAAATAACATTGCTAAAAACAGAACAAAATGCAGAAAATAAAGGTGTACAAAAGTGAAAATATAATTTCTTGAAAATTTCAGCGCAAAAAATAAAACCGAGACTCTCATTGAGTCTCAAATATTTTGTCTGCAGAAAAAAATCCTGCCCCTCCCCCTAAATAAGTGCAATATCATGGTCCCTTAAATACAACTTTGGCCACACCATTACTTCAAACACAAAAAAAATCATTCATGACTTTACTTAACCTCAGGGATGTACTTTAAAAGTTAAAGTATAGGCAGAAGTTTCTCATATGGATCTTTCGTACTAGATTTTAACCTTTAGCAGCTTAGTAGAGATTTAAAATAGAAAAAAAATCCATAGCGAGAGCAAGTCTTTTAGGTCTGTTGGAAAAAAACAACATGCATACAAAGTGACAAATGAATTGTTTAGACTACAAAACTATTATGTTTAACCTGTGATGGTGTGATAAAATCGTTCAAATCTGTGAGCTGAAGTGCTCCACTAAAGTTGGAAGCCATGTTTTTTAGAAAACTAGAACACCAATCATAGTCGTCGAGACAATCCCAACCGCTAATCAAAATATTTCTAACAAGTCCGTTTGGCAATATTTATTTACTTCCGGTAAAAAATTTTGCAATGCAGCTTGAGATAACATTTTTAAAGATGACTTCTTGAATAATAGATGTTGTCATCTTTTATTTGTGGTTTAAAATGAACGGATCAAACACAAATAACGATCCTATTATACTAGCTACTGCAGGATATGATCATACGGTCAGATTTTGGCAGGCTTACAGTGGAATTTGTCTGAGAACTGTGCAGCATCCAGATTCTGTATCCATCAACAAAAACCATTCATTAATAACATAGGACCAATTCTGAATTAACAACTGTTTTGAAAAAAATATGTTAAACTCAGACAACATCAAGTCTCTAATCGACATCTGCTCTTCAAATCAATGTTTGATTTTACGTCAAATTCTCAAATCAATTGCCGATATTTTTACCCTCTAATTGACTTCATGTATAAGTAACCAAAATGATGTCCCATGGATTGGAGTTGCCTCTAATCTTTAATAAATTTTTTCCAGTTTGATCTTTCTTTATTTCACTGTAGTGATCGTTTTGTTTTTGTTTAATGTTGCCTTCGATCTATGTTGTTTCATTCCTTTTATACCCATATGAGTAAGATGTGGGTACATGTTTATGAGACAACAAAAACATAAAGATAAGACAAAGATAACCCAAAGACTACTAGCATGTCAAGAGGTACAGTGGCCAACAATAGAAATACATCTATTCAATATGTCGAGCTCTTACATCATGTACATGTATTCGAAAGTATAGCGAATAAAGAATTTGCCCTAATTTATTTCTAACCAGAGGCATTCTTAAAGTCTTTCAATCTGTAAGACAATTAACAGTATCATTGCTTCATTTTTATACAAATGCATATTTAAGAACATTTAACCACAACTAACATGACTAAATTTCTACAGATAAGTTGGAACCACAATTTTAATAGATAGATTTTTACAAGTTTTTAGATTCTTTTTCAAAAATAAAAAAGAATGACCAAATTTCTATCCGAAATAAAACTTTGTCTTATACCTGTATTTTGTATACAAATAAGTTGATGTAGCTAAAACAATGCAGTCTGCATCATTCCTTTAAAAAAGGCCTTCAACAACAATGATTAGTGCAAAATAACTTGTAAGTTTTAGGAATGAAAAAAAAGATTGTTCAGAAACTTTTAAGTATATAATTTGAACTCTGCTATATTAAAAATCAAGTAGTTTTCAAAAAAAGTCCTATGTTTACCCTGTGAGTGAAACATATACACAAAAATTAGGCCCTCCCTCTTTACCAGAAACAATCAAAGATCTGCCATTAATAGTCAATTCTCAAAATAGTCAATTCTCAAAATAACTAAAAACATTCAGAAATGACATACAAGAAATACATGTAATGACAAGGTTCCGAAATTGGGACAAGGAAATAGTTGTGTTAACAAAACATAACTGAATCCCCAGAAAATAGAAACAATATGTCAGACAGGGGTACTACTTGTACAAGTTATCTTTATTTACTTGAAGAAGTAAATAAAATATACTTATATAAGTTAATTATATTTTTTGAATAATCTCCCCTTAATTTTCTCAAAAATTTACTTGTATAAGTAAAATTTTTTTTAAATCCCACAAAAATTCTTAATTTTTGAGATGTAAAATCATGCCTTTAACAATTTGTCTCAGGTTAGCTCATAATTTTTGATAAGAGTTCAATGTTTCATCTCATTAATTCAACAAAGAAACTGATTGCGCAAAGATCTTAAGTATTTGTGCAAGGCCTTCAAAAATTGCTCCTTGGGGCCTTGTAAATGAGCAGTGTTCTGAAGATAACAGACAAATGAGATTTTCATTGTCCATGAAATTACACTTAAATGATTAGTAAAGACATCTGCAAAGGACAGACAATTCAAAATTCTGTTAGAGCAAAGAAGTGCTAAGAATTCAAGAAAAGAAGATAGGATAACTTTTTTACTTGTATTTATTAAAAAAAACTTTTTTACTTGTATTTATTAAAAAAATCTGAATGTCTAAGGGACATAATTAGGCCAAAAATAATTTACCTATACAAGTAAATAAAATACACTTGTATAAGTATCCTAAAAATTTACTTATATAAGTATATTGATATTTACTTCTTCAAGTAAATAAAAATTACTTGTACAAGTAGTACCCCTGACTGTATGTAAATTAGTGTGATAGTTATAATATTAACAGTGTAATTTTTACTGCAGAAAATGCTTACTTCGACAATTAATGTCTCTACAGTGAACATCATTTCAAATTGATAGCATGAATTGTTTACATTAACATGTTCGATGATAAAATTATGTAAGCTATAAATTTTTATAAATTTCATTAAATAACATCTAATTTTGTTTGTTACAAATGATTTGATTCGTTGTCATGAGGATTCAGTCCAGCGGTAGAAGTTAATTTAAGAACAAAAAACAGACTTCGATTAGAGTGGCATAGAATTGGTCGTTGATTTGAAATCTTACTATATTATGTTGTCAAAATTGGACATAGATTTTAGGAAAGGATGTCCATTAGAGACAGTTGTCGATCTGAGTCTAACAAATATACAAGAAGTAGTCAATCACCTCTCTGTCTCAACCCATTTGTGATTTATGTTAGAGTAGTTTCACCTCAACCTTCCCTCTGTTAACAAAGGGGAGTGGGGCAAGATATAGATGACTTTCGAATTCCTGCATTTTCCTATGTTACAATGCTGATGTTATTACTTTACAGTACGAGTCAATTATTCAATGACATCATTTCAGCAGAATTCCTGAAAAATCTGCCAATACCATGTCAATTAAATTTTTTTATATTTTTCTTGACAGGAAATAAATTGGAAAGTTTCACCATACAATGGTAAAGAAAGTGCAGTCACAATTGAACAAAATTTGTTTTATTTTCTATGAGATTATAGCATAAAAAATTCCTCTTGTTTTCAAAACACTATATAATCTGTACATGTAAATAAACATTGTCATATATCATGTATATTTCAGCATAATTCTGATCTGTCTGTGTTTTTCCTTAATTTGTTTTCTAGCAAGTAAATGCATTGGAAATAACTCCAGACAAGCAATTGATTGCTGCAGCTGGTGAGTTTGTAAAATATATGGAATAGTACATACAAAACATATTTACAAGATTTAAAAACCAGTAGTACATGTAAAAATTTTCAAGTAACACAACAGATTTATATTTGTGTATCCCATGTATCCAGAGCAGGGGGTACCAGTGGTATGAACATTCTATTTCTCTTTTTTTTTTTATCAAATCATGTAAAAATTCACAAAAATTAAGCTGGAACCATCTTTTTCAGGTGGAATACCCTTAGCACTCAATTAAAAAAATTTCTGAATCCATGTTTGATTAGAAAGTTTTCTTTCTTACAGTTCAAATTATGCTTTGAAATGTATGAGAATGATGAAATTAAGGTATCAAGTATTTGTCTGTGTTCTTTCTAACAATAAATTCCTTCTTCCAGTTTTTAGTCCCCTACCGACTAAGTGGAAGGGGACTTTAGGTTTGCACTCTGTCCGTCTGTCTGTCTGTCCGTCCATCCGACAGTCCGGCAAATCAGTTTTCCACACTTTTTTCTTTGTGCTTCAAGATATTGATTTGATATTTGGTGTATAGTTTTATCATGACAAGTTACAGATCAATTTCGAATTGTGTTCCGGTCTGATGAGTTTGTGCAGAGTTATGGTCCTTGGACTAAGAAAATTCTCTCAAATAATCAGTTTTCCTCACTTTTTTTCGTCTTGCTTGAAGATATTGATTTGATAATTGGGATATAGTTTCATCTTGACAAGTTACAGATCAAGTTCAAATTTTGTTCCGGTTTGATGATTTTTGAGCAAAGTTATGGTCCTTGGACTTAGAAAATTCACATAAATAATCAGTTTTCCACACTTTTTTTCGTCATGCTTGAATATATTGACTTGATATTTGTTATATAGTTTACACCATGACAAGTTATAGATCAAGTTACTATTTTTTTCCAGTACAATGAATTTTTAACCAGTAGGGGACTATATATTGCCATGCAATACTCTCAGAATGCTTGTTCAAACATGTAAATAGAGGAATTATTATTTCAACTTGTTTCCCCTCCATCAAACCTAGTTAGGGTCAAGGGTCTTATACCCGTACAAAATAATCCAAGTGATTAAACAATATTATATCATAGAAAATATATTTGAAAATAGATATACAAATTTTTGATAAATAAATTCTTAGCACAAATGAATCTTGAATGTAGAATTATGGTCCAAATGTCAGCTTTTACTATTACATTTTTGTCCTCCACGCAAGGAATTGCGGGGAACATAGATATAACAAGGGTCTGTCCATCCGATCTTGTTAGCGCTCTCAAACGAACAATTCTTGCCAGATTCTTATAAAACTTATATCGTAGGTTTATATCAGCAATCTCTCTGATGAGTTCAAAAATCAGTGCTGATCAACTATTTTTAAAAGAGTTATGTCCCTTGGAAACATTAGTTATATGGAAAATTGCATAGTTAGCCCTCTCATGTGTACAATTCTTGCCAGATTTTTATGAAATTTATATTGTAGGTTTTTATCAGCAATGTCTCGGACGAGTTTGAAAATCAGTGCCGATCAACTATTTTTAAAAGAGTTATGCCCCATAGAAATATAAATTATATGGAAATTTGCATTGTAAGTGCTCTCACATGTACAATTTTTGCCAGATTTTTATCAAATTCATATCAAAGATATAAAACAGCAATGTCTTGGACAATTAAATAAGTGCCAATCAAATATTTTTAATGAGTTTCCCTTTGAAATATTAAATATACTGGAAATTGCTCTCAAGTCTTCAACTCTCTAGTAAGATAATTCTAAAAAGTTTTAAAGAACAAAAAAAAATTTCTTTTTTGTTTTTTGCCCTTGGACAAATTTTAGACAGAGCAGATAAAATATGTGCAATGTGGGGGACATTGGAACTCTGTTATTTTATTTTTTATATTTATATGCAAAACCTGACTATAAAAAAATCATAATAAGCTAATTTATGGGCAGTCTGGGAATAATGCAGGAATAATTTTGACTTCCACTAAAAAACAAGGGCATATTGGATATGATTAAAAATTAAATCTGTAGCAGGTCACCTCAAAACTTTTTGAGGAGCCATTTAATGTGAAAGAGTGTGGCATTTACACAATATGTGACAAATGTTTCACTTATTCAGGAGTAATACCACCATTGTATTTTCCCTATTAGTCTTTGTTAAATTGGTATTTTTCAAAATAAATGTGCATAATAATGTTTATGACTGAATTTTTTTTCTGCAATGAAATGCAGGGTTTATTAGGGCCCCGGCTAGTGGCGGGTCGCCCTATAGTGATCAGTCTGTCCATCAGTCCGTAACAAATTGTGTCCGCTCTATATCTAGAGAACCTTTATATTTTCATACTTTATACTTGACATGTATATTAACCAACACCAGAGGGTGTGTCATAATATTTGTACAACTTCCCAGGTCAAAGTTCAAGGTCAAAAACTTTGGTTTCAGGTCTGTCCGTCCGTCCATAACAAATTGTGTCCGCTCTATATCTAGAGAACCGTTATAATTTCATTCTTTATACTTGACATGTATATGAACCAACACCAGAGGGTGTGTCATAATGTTTGTACAACTTCCTAGGTCAAAGTTCAAGGTCAAAAACTTTAGTTTCAGTTGACAACCCCATGTCCTATGGTAAAGATCGTGTCCGCTCTATATCTTGAGAACTGTTATGATTTCAAAGTTTATACTTGACATGTATGTTAACCAACACCAGAGGGTGAGTCATAATTTATGTACAACATCCTAGGTCAAAGGTCAAGGTCAAAAACTTTGATTTCAGTTGACAACCCCATGTCCTATGGTACAGATCATGTCCGCTCTATACCTTGAGAACCGTTATGATTTCAAAGTTTATACATCAACCCATATATCCATAAGTCACCTAGTGGTCAACAATGAATTCACACCATGCAGTCATATCACTATTATACTATGAAAGTAAGTTCAGGATATTTATCAGTTTAATTAAATTGCCAAATATAACACTTTAACTAAAAAACATAGAATAAAATCACTCTCAGCACATAACGAGACTATGTAATAACTTAAAAAAGTGCTTCATATCAGCTTATCCATACAAAATTTTTACCACACGTTATTTACAGCGGGCCCACAGAGATGGCTCTCATATCAATAATGTCTAGTTTCCTACAACTGTCAAATTCACGGGAATTTTTTTTTTCAACCATTTTTCGTATGAGCCAAGATGTGATGTACTGTGTTTTTATGGTATTACACCTTCATATAGGCAGAATTTGTTGTTCTAGATATTAATTAAAATCTTTATTGTACAAGTCTTGGAAAACTGAACAAAATTGTACTCCTTAGTCCTTATATAAAATGAAATGTCTTCTTAGTAAAATGATCAGTATTATATTACAGAGAATAGTGATAATTTGAAAATAGATATATATTTATAGGGTACCAGCACATTCGAATGTATGATTTGAACTCAAATAACCCAAACCCTGTGATTAATTATGATGGAATATCAAAGAATGTTACTGGACTAGGTTTCCATGAGGATGGCAAGTGGATGTACACAGGAGGAGAAGACAACGCTGTGAGAATCTGGGATTTAAGGTATTTTAAAAATATTGTGCTATTTATAGAATTGAGAATGGAAACGTGAAATGTGACAAAGTGACAACAACACAACCAAAGTGCAGAAAACAGCCCATGAACGCCAATGGGTCTTCAACACAGCCAGAAAATCCTGCAACCTGAGGCAGGTTTCAGCTGGGCCCTAAGCAAAAATGTACACTAGTTCAGCAAAAATGGATGTCCCACTAAACTCTGAAACATATAAATGAACCAAAATTTAAAAAAAAACATACAAGACTAACAAAGGCCAAAGGTTCCTGATTTGGGACAGGCTCAAAAATGCGGCAGGGTTAAACATGTTTTGTGAGATCTCAACCCTCCCCCCTATACCTGTAGCCAATGTAGAATAAACAAACACACAGCAATACGCACAGTAAAAGTCAGTTGAAAAGAATTCAAAGTCCGATCTTAGAATAGGTAACAGAAGAAACTAAACAAAATGACAATGATCAACATAAATTAACAAAGGACTACTAGCAGTTACTGACATGCCAGTACCAGACCTCAATTAAACTGATTAAAAGATTATGTCTTCATCATATGAAAATCAAGCACAATTCCTCCCGGTAACGGTTTAGTATCATACCATCATAAAAACATACGTGAAGAACATAACCCGCATCATGCCAACAACTGGTTTTAGAATAAATGTATTTATTACCTATGTGAAGACCCTATGAATGAATCAATATTAATTCCAAAAAATGCCATCTTTAATGACCTGACAACAGTGTCATAACTATATCCCTTCTGAATGTGTCTGTTTAAAGGTTTGGTTAGCTTTTGAGATGAATGACGACATTTTTGTGCTTTCTATAGAATATTCCCATAAAAGATGGGATGTGAAATACCTGCACGTTGATTTATATTTACGAATGATGTCCTTGTACCGATGATAAAATTTAGTAAATGTTTTGACATGTATTCTGAAAGATGTGGCCATATATGTTCACATATATAAAAATTTGCATCTTCATTGATATATTAAGATAGCATGTCAATATGACTGTTACAATATAGCATAACTGATGTAATTTATGTATATTTTATAAGGTTAGAGTGTTTTATCAGTTTCATATGAAGGGAGCTCAATACAGTTCCACACATATATAGGTATCAGATACATAAAAGTGTTGCACTCACTGATAATCAATACAAGATCTGTTAATTTTTTGTAGGTCAAGAAATTTACAGTGCCAAAGAATATTCCAAGTAAATGCTCCAGCTAACTGTGTGTGCCTACATCCTAACCAGGTTTGTGCTAATTAAGGACAAAGTACCATTAACTCTTGAACAATTTCACTCAATTCTATCAAATCTCAAATTCTAAAATAAAGCATTTTATATTGTTGTTTTAGTTTGCCTCGAAGCAGAAAAAAGTAATTTATGTGAGGGTCTGGAAGGGGGGGGGGGGGGGGGGGGGGGTGGGGAGTTTGGTGATGGTTCTGTATTCTGAATTTTTTAAGGCAACTCTTCTCTATTCATTTTTATTCACATTATTCTCTATTCTTTATATTTTAGCACCCCATTATTCTCTATTCTTTATATTTTAGCACCCCATTATTCTCTATTCTTTATATTTTGGCCAATTATTAACTATTAAGGAGGACCTAGATAGTTGATAACATCTATATCATGTGGTGTTTGGTGGATCGTTGTTTCATTGGCATACAAGTATCTCCTTATTGTTCCCTGTGCAATGCCTTGCGGGGACATAAAAATACCGGGCGTCCGTACGTCTGTCCGGTCTTGTAAGCGCTCTCACGTGTACAATTCTTGCCAGATTTTTATGAAACTTATATCATAGGTTTATATCAGCAATGTCTTGAACGAATTGCACAGTTAGCGCTCTCATTTGTACAATTCTTGCCAGATTTTTACGAAACTTATATCATAGGATTATATTAGCAATGTCTTGGAGGAGTTTGAAAATCAGTGCCAATCAATTATTTTTAAAAGAGTTTTGCCCCTTGAAAACATTAATTGTATTAAAAATTGCATAGTTAGCGTTCACTTGTGTACATTTCTTGCCAGATTTTTATGAAACTTCTATCATAGGTTTATATCAGCAATGTCTTTGACACTTTTGAAAAATTAGTGCTGATCAAATATTTTTAAGTTATGAGTTATGTCCCTTGGAAATATTAATTATAACGGAAATCGCATTGCATTTGCTCTGAAGCCTTCATTTCTCTAAGATATTTATCAAAAGTTTTTAAGAACAAACAAAAAAAAGTGTTTTTTTTAGCTCACTTGGCCAAAAGGGCCAATTGAGCTTTCTCATCACTTGGCGTCCGTCGTTGTCCATCGTCGTCCGTCGTCGTCGTCGTTAACTTTTTACATTTTGAACTTCTTCTAGAGAACCACTGAATGGAATAAATCCAAACATGGCATGAATGTACCTTATGAGGTGCTGACCAAGTGTTATTACTTTGTAGCCGATCCATCATCCAAGATGGCCGCCAGCGGGGGACTTAGTTTAACATAAGACCCTATGGGAAATACATACAAATGCCTTCTTTTAGAAAACCAGTGAATGGAATGAAACCAAACATGGCATGAATGTTCCTTATGAGGTGCTGACCAAGTGTTGTTACTTTGCAGCAGATCCATCATCCAAGATGGCCGCCAGCAGGGGACTTAGTTTAACATAGGACCCTATGGGAAATACATACACATGTCTTCTTTTAGAGAACCACTGAATGGAATGGAACAAATCATGGCATGAATGTTCCTTATGAGGTGCTGACCAAGTGTTGTTACTTTGCAGCAGATCCATCATCCAAAATGGCTGCCAGCGGGGGACTTAGTTTAACATAGGACCCTATGGGAAATACATACACGTCTTATTTTAGAGAACCACTGAATGGAATGAAACTAAACATGGCATGAATGTTCCTTATGAGGTGCTGACCAAGTGTTGTTACTTTGCAGTCGGTCCATCATCCAAGATGGCCGCCAGCAGGGGACTTAGTTTAGCATAGGACCCTATGGGAAATACATACAAATGTCTTCTTTTAGAGAACCGCTGAATGGAATGAAACCAAATATGACATGAATGTTCCTTATGAGGTGCTGACCAAGTGTTGTTACTTTGCAGCCGATCCATCATCCAAGATGGCCGCCAGTGGGTGAATTAGTTTAACATAGGACCCTATGGGAAATACATACAAATGTCTTCTTTTAGAGAACCGCTGAATGGAATGAAACCAAATATGACATGAATGTTCCTTATGAGGTGCTGTCCAAAATTCACCAAATGCTGTTATTTTGCAGTTGGTCCATCATCCAAGATGGCCGCCAGCGGGGGACTTAGTTTAGCATAGGACCCTACGGGAAATACATACAAATGTCTTCTTTTAGAGAACCACTGAATGGAATTAAACAAAACATGGCATGAATGTTCCATATGAAGTGCTGACCAAGTGTTGTTACTTTGATGTCAATCCATCATCCAAGATGGCCGCCAGCGGGGGACTTAGTTTAACATAGGACCCTATGGGAAATACATACAAATGTCTTCTTTTAGGGAACCACTGAATGGAATGGAAGCAATCATGGCATGAATGTTCCTTATGAGGTGTTGACCAAGTGTTGTTTCTTTGCAGCCAATCCATCATCCAAGATGGCCGCCAGCGGGGGACTTAGTTTAACATAGGACCCTATGGGAAATACATACAAATGTCTTCTTTTAGAGAACCACTGAATGGAATGGAAGCAATCATGGCATGAATGTTCCTTATGAGGTGTTGACCAAGTGTTGTTTCTTTGCAGCCAATCCATCATCCAAGATGGCCGCCAGCGGGGGACTAAGTTTAACATAGGACCTTAAGGGAAATACATACAAATGTCTTCTTTTAGAAAACCACTGAATGGAATGGAACCAAACATGGCATGAATGTTCCTTATGAGGTGCTGTCCAAATGTTGTTACTTTGCAGCCGATCCATCATCCAAGATGGCCGCCAGGGGGGGGGGGACTTAGTTTAGCAACGGATCTTAAGGGAAATACATACAAATGTCTTCTTTTAGAGTACCACTGAATGGAATGAATCCAAACATGACATGAATGTTCCTTATGAGGTGCTGACCAAGTGTTGCTACTTTGTTGCTGATTTACTGTTCAAGATGGCCACCAGGATATTTTATTAAATAACGGGACCAATATTAAACCAAATTTGGCCTCAATCATTATTTGGGTATCTGTTATGATTTTTATCTATCTTTACATGATTTCTAAAACCAAAGTAGAGTCAGGTGAGCTACACAGGCTCTTGAGAGCCTCTAGTTTAATTATTGTCCTTGGACATGTTGGATAGATAAAATATGTGCAACGTGGGGAACATTGGAACTCTGTTCTTTTATTTTTATATTGATGTGTAGGTTGTTCCTGATGCAGTCACATGAAATGTACTGATGATCACTGATTGTCAGGACAGGTACAGCATTATGATGTTGGCAATAACTCTGGATAAAACAAATTTTGTTGCTAATCTTAATTTCCTAAGAAGTTACTGTTTATTGGTTTGTTTGTTTGTTAAGTTTTTTCTTTAGATTTATGCTATTGTTGAAATTTGTTATAGTAAGGACAATACAAAAGAAAAATGAAAACAGTTAAATTATATGTTTCAGGGAGAATTATTTATTGGAGACCAGAGTGGATCTATACATGTATGGGACCTAAAAACAGATAATAATGAACAGTTGGTAAGTTCTACTTATTTATTTTAAAATGGGATAGTTTATATAAATTACCTTTTGTCGATAGTATTTATTTTTGTAGGTTAATTAGGATATTATGATAGGATTGAGCTCTAAGCATCTATTTTTGTCTTAAAGACACATTTTGAGATTTGTTAGGAAATAAACCATTTTATATTTGATTGAATCTCTTTATACTAAACATCTATAAACAAAAAAATGAGCATAATCAGCTTCTTTTTTTTATTAAGAAAATGTCAAATAACTGTTTAAATTTTGTAATCAATTATACAATTAATAATCTCTGTTGAACACATCTATTTTTGTCAATGAACTATTTTTAAGATGAAACCCTTTTGATTTGGGAAAAATAGGATATGGGATTGATGTTCATTAGACAAAAATATAAATTAAAAACGGTTATTGTTATTGCTGTTTTAAATTGCATCAATTGTACATTTATTATATTGCTAATAAAAGTCTTCAACAACAAATCGAAAACCGCACACTGAACAGTTTTTTCAATATATTATATGCTTTTATATGCTGTTTAAAATACAAAAAGAAACTCTGGATTTGAAAACAGTCTGTTCTGTTTACAGATACCAGAACAAGATGCCTCCATACAGTCTATCAGTATAGATCCCATGGGAACCATGATGGCTGCTGTAAATAACAAGGTATTAAGGATAGAAAGAAAATATACAATTGATAAGTTTTCACTTTATGTGCTAATATGCCTGCATGCATGTGAAAGAAGTCATGAGTATTTACAGGCTGATATCTACCAACTGGCTATGTATGATGATTTTACAAAAACAATCTAATGGAATACATGTATTGAATAAATATTTTGATTAGACTGTAAGAATATATTTTTAACTATTTTATAATCCACAATGAATATTTATTAATTCAGACAAACCTTAGCTAAATGGCAACCTCGCTTGGAAATGCATGCAACTACTAAGTCTCCTTCATTATAGAAGTAAAGTTCATAGTACCCGAAACTTGTTTTGAGAAGCCTTATTGGCTTAATATTTAGGATTTATATAGTAAAACTGCACACATAAAAAAAATGTGTTCCATTCAAACATTTTCATCTTATTAAATTAAAAACCCCTCAATTGAATATATTCTGATTTGAACAAAAATTGTTTCTTTGGAATATAACTTCTTTACATTTGCATTTAAGAAAGGAAGTCCCAAAAATTTCCTTCACTAAAATATAATGTGATACATGCCTCCTATATGCAATTTTAGCAGTATCTGATCTGTGTACTGTATCACCTAAAATGTATTTTATTAGCTGATCACAATTTTAGAACTTCTTTTTTTTCCAGGGTAACTGTTATATATGGAATCTGACTGGAGGCAAAGGAACAGAACCCACTAAATTACATCCCAAATCAAAATTTGAAGCCCACAGTAGATATGTTCTGAAGTGTTTATTTAGTCCAGATTCTACGTAGGTTATTGGTTATATCAAGACACTCCAACATCATTGGTCTATTTTGCTGTCAATAAAACCATAAATTCTTCTATAGGTCATCATAGTTCTCAACATTAGACATTTGTCTCTAGCATATATCAAGCTCTAATTGCCACAATTTGAGACAAATAAGGTGATAAAATATCACAAAATTACCAAAGAATAGTCATCAACACCAAGTCCAAGAAAGAAACAACCACAAAGGTGTCTAATGATAACCACTGATGAGGTTCAAGACTTTGAACAATTTTGATGCATCCATGTTTAACAATTACATAAAAAAATATTATATCATTTATTTTTTGTCTCGCCTGCGATGAAAGTCTCATTATTTCGTCGCAGTATGCGAGACATAGGTATTACTATCAGGCGGCGGCGTAAACTATTTGTATAAAGCTTTATATTTCAGAAGGTAGAAGACCTGGATGCTTCATATCTTGTATGCAGATACCTTATGTTACGAAGTTTCCGTCAGACAGATGTCCATTGTCCTTGACCTCAATTTCATTTTATGAATAATCAGATAACTATATTTGGCATATGGGTTCATTGCAACATCTAGATGTCAGTCAGAGTTCACCTGACCTCGACCTCATTTCATGGATCAGTGATCAAGGTTAAAGTTACGTGATTAGGTCCGCTTCTCAAATACTATAAGCAGTAGGTCGACTATATTTGGTGTATGTAATGATTGTAATGGGTAGATGTCAGTCTGGCAGGTTTCATCTGACCTTGACCTCATTTTCATGGTTTATTGGTCAATGTTAAGTTTTTTTTATTTGGTCTGTTTTTCAAATACTATAAACAATAGGTCATTATATTTGGTGTATGGAATGATTGTAAGGTGTACATGTCAGTCTGGCAGGTATCATCTGACCTTTACCTTATTTTCATGGTTCATTGCTCAATGTTCAGTTTTGATGTTTTTGTGTTTTTCAAGAACTATAAGCAATAGGTCAACTATTTTTGGTGTATGGAATGATTGTAAAATGTACATGTCTGTCTGGCAGGTATCATCTGACCTTGATATCATTTTTAGGGTTCAATGGTCAATGTTAAGTTTTTGTGTTTTGGTCTGTTTTTCAAATACTATTAGCAATAAGTCAGCTATATTTGGTGTATGGAATAATTGTAAGGTCCACGTCTGTCTGGCAAGTATAATCTGACCTTGACCTCATTTTAATGGTTCATTGGTCAATGTTAAGTTTTTGTGTTTTGGTCTGTTTTTCAATTAGCATATGCAATAGGTCAACTATATTTGGTGTATAAAAAAAATGTAAGGTGTATATGTCTGTCTGACACAATTTATCTGACCTTATCCTCATTGTCATAGACCTTTAAAAGTGTTAAGTTTCTGTAATGCTTTTAGTTAAACCTTTATTTTTAAGACTTTCAACATAAAATTAATGGTCAGTAAAGTAGGCGAGACATTTCAGCGTGTGCACTCTTGTTTTAAACAACAAAAAACTTAAGATATGACAAAAGGCAAAGCACTGATGATGGTCCTGACCTAGGACAGGCAAATAGATATGTGTATTTTTTGTAGTAGCTTTATTATACGACCGCAAAAAAATTTTTGTGGTCGTATATTGGTATGACGTTGGCGTCGTCGTCGTCGTCCGGCATCGTCGTCGTCGTCCTGCGTCGTCGTCCGAATACACATTGGTTTTCGCACTCTAACTTTAGTTTAAGTGAATGGATCTTTTTGAAATTTTACCATAAGGTTAAATACCACAAAAGGAAGGTTGGGATTGATTTTGGGGGTTATGGTACCAACAGTTAAGGAATTAGGGGCCAAAAAGGGGCCAAAAATAAGCATTTTCTAGTTTCCAGACAATAACTGTGGAACAGTGTATGGATCTCTCTGAAATTATACTACAAGTTTCCATACCACAAAGGGATGGTTAGGATTTGCTTTGGGGGGTTATGGCTCAAACCGTTTAGGAATTAGGGGCAAAAAAGGGGGAAAAACAAGGTTGTCCTGGTTAATGGACAAATACTTTAGTACAAAACATAATTTAAAGCAGTGTAAGGGAGATAAGTCAAATACATCATTGAAATTATCTCCCTTACACTGCTTTTAAATTATGTATAAAGTAATGGTTAATGAACAATAAAGATAATTTAAAACAGTGTAAGGGAGGTAATCCAAATACAACATTTTGGTTACTTCCCTTACACTGCTTTTAAATTTTGTTTAAAGAAATGCATATTTATAAAGGAAGACCAGTAAAAATATCTGCAAATGTTGCATCATTTTATTTTACAAAAAAATCCATATGAAAGATTTGACACTATATTTTTAATTCTATTATAAAATAGATTAAGTTAGCACTATTGTAAAATTAAATGGGTAATTATGGTTGCCAACTCCATTGGAAATTTGAATTGAGATTATGACCATATCTTGAGGGAAAGAATTTTTTGGGGGAAAAAAGGGGGGGGGGGATAAAAAGAAATTGTGGGGGGTCAATTTTTTCTCATTTCAGATTTCAGAAATTAAAAAGAATTATTCTTCAAATATTATTTTTTTTTCAAATTTCAAATATTGAAAATTTCAAGAAGTAATCTTTAATTGCACAGTATGGCGCATTAGATTTGTAAAATCTTTGATCACATTTATTTATTTGTTATGCCGAATCTAACAGTGTATTTAGATTTTTAATTTTGGGTCCAGTTTTCAAAATAGTCTACATTAAGGTCCAAAGGGTCCAAAATTAAACTTTGTTTGATTTTAGCAAAAATTGAATATATGAGGTTCTTTGATATGCTGAATCTAAACATGTATTTAGATTTTTGATTTTTGGCCCAGTTTTCAAGTTGGTCCAAATTGGGGTCCAAAATTAAACTTTGTTTGATTTCAACAAAAATTGAATATATGGGGTTCTTTGATATGCTGAATCTAACCATGTATTTAGATTTTTTATTTGTGGACCCCGTTATCAAATTGGTTCATATTGAGGTCAAAAGGGTCCAAAATTAAACTTTGTTTGATTTCATCTAAAATTGAATTATTGGGGCTCTTTGATATTCCAAATCTAACCGTGTATTTAGATTTTTAATTTTGGGTCCTGTTTTTTAAATTGGTCTACATTAAGGTCCAAAGGGTCCAAAATTAAACTTAGTTTGATTTTAACAAAAATTGAATTCTTGGGGTTCTTTGATATGCTGAATCTAAACATGTGTTTAGATTTTTAATTATGGGCCCAGTTTTCAAGTTGGTCCAAGATAGGGTCTAGTATTTAAACTTTGTTTGATTTCAACAAAAATTGAATATATGGGGTTCTTTGATATGCTGAATCTAACCATGTATTTAGATTTTTTATTTGTAGGCCCCGCTATCAAATTGGTTCATATTGAGGTCAAAAGGGTCCAAAATTAAACTTTGTTTGATTTCATCAAAAATTGAATTATTGGGGTTCTTTGATATGCCAAATCTAACGGTGTTTTTAGATGTTTAATTTGGGTCCCGTTTTTTAAATTGGTCTTCATTGAGGTCCAAAGGGTCCAAAATTAAACTTAGTTTGATTTTAACAAAAATTGAATTCTTGGGGTTCTTTGATATGCTGAATCTAAACATTTGTTAAGATTTTTGATTATGGGCCCAGTTTTCAAGTTGGTCCAAGTTGGGGTCCAAAATTAAACTTTTTTTGATTTCAACAAAAATTGAATATATGGGGTTCTTTGATATGCTGAATCTAACCATGAATTTAGATTTTTTATTTGTGGGCCCCGCTATCAAATTGGTTCATATTGAGGTCAAAAGGGTCCAAAATTAAACTTTGTTTGATTTCATCAAAAATTGAATTATTGGGGTTCTTTGATATTCCAAATCTAACCGTGTATTTAGATTTTTAATTTTAAGTCCTGTTTTTTAAATTGGTCTACATTAAGGTCCAAAGGGTCCAAAATTAAACTTAGTTTGATTTTAGCAAAAATTGATTTCTTGGGGTTCTTTGATATGCTGAATCTAAACATATGTTTAGATTTTTGATTATGGGCCCAGTTTTCAAGTTTGTCCAAGTTGGGGTCCAAAATTAAACTTTGTTTGATTTTAACAAAAATTGAATATATGGGGTTCTTTGATATGCTGAATCTAACCATGTTTTTTGATTTTGGACATTGGACCATAATAGGTAAATTAAAAAAATTCAAGTTCTTAGACCACATTCTTTCTGTGTCAGAAACCTATGCTGTGTCAAATATTTAATAACAATCCAAATTCAGAGCTGTATCAAGCTTGAATGTTGTGTCCATACTTGCCCCAACTGTTCAGGGTTCGACCTCTGCGGTCGTATCAAGCTGCGCCCCAGCGAAGCATTTTATTTTGAATATTGATTTGTATAAATAAGTTTAAACAGATACTGCTGATTTTTCTTTTGTAAAAGATGATAGACATTTTTATCAATTTTCTGAATATTCCAAAGTTAAAAAGTTAAGTACATGTATATATGGACATGATATATATTTTCTGTAATGAAAAGTTGTTATTTTACTTAGATTATTAGCCACCACATCTGCTGATCAAACAGCCAAAATATGGCGGACTGCAGATCTGACATTAATGACAGAATTAAAAGAAACTGCACAGAGATGGGTCTGGGACTGTGCATTTAGTGGAGATTCACAGTATATTATCACAGGTAATTCAAAACGCATTAATATGATGCTAAAAATGTATAATTAAAGGACACTAAAAATGTATTAATTAAAGGACAAGAATATGTAAGGGCTTATTGGGTCTAAAATTTCATTCAAGTTTATTTTTGGAATTGGAAACAAACTGTTATTAAATTATTGTTCAACTGACCATCATAAAATAACAAAAAAAAATTTCATATTCCTTGAGTGTTCATGTGTACAAACGATCATTAGAGTTGTGATTTGGATTCTTGTGCTATATGATGACCTATTAAGATTTTTTTTATATTAAAATTATGTTTTTATTTTAAATGTATTATCTGTTTATTTTCAGCATCATCAGATAACATGGCCAGATTATGGAGTGTAGATACAGGAGAGGTCAAGAAAGAATATAGTGGACATCAAAAAGCTGTTGTGTGTTTAGCATTTAGAGATGAAATAGTGCAATAAAATTTATATTTTAATATTTAATCTCTGTTGTTAATGTAATCGTGAATGTAGGTCTTTTCTTACATGGTATAAAATTAATAAATGTGACAATTGTAAACAAATAAGTTTCAAATCTTTTACAATGAAAGCTGTTAAAAGAGTATAGTTTTATTGTCTCGCCTGCGATGAAAGGTGCAGTATGCGAGACATAGGTATTACTATCCGGCAGTAGCAGCGGCGACGTAAACGTAAACTATTTGTATAAAGCTTTATATTTCAGATGGTAGGAGACCTAGAGGCTTCATACCTTATATGCAGATACCTTATGTTATGAAGTTTCCGTCTGTCATATGCCCATTGTCCTTGACCTCATTTTCATGGTTCAGTGACTGCTTGAAAAAAATGACAGTTTTTTTGTCATGTAAATTTCTCACATATTATGAGTAATAGGATAACTATATTTGGTATATGGGTTCCTTGCAACGTCTACATGTCCGTCAGACAGGGTAAACCTGACCTCGACCTCAATTCATGGATCAGTGATCAAGGTTAAAATTACGTGATTAGGTCCGTTTCTCAGTAACAGTCTCATTTTCATGGTTCATTGGTCAATGTTACGTTTTGGTGCTTTGGTCTGTTTTTCAAATACTAATAACAATAGGTCAAACTGCAATTGGTGTATGGAATGATTGTATGGTGTACATGTCTGTCTAGGCCACACTTAAAAATATTTTGGTTTGCCCAAACCCTACCCAAAGGTAGAGACAGTGGGAAGGTAGGTAGGCATTTTCTTTTTTTTTTTTTTCGGTAAAGAGTAATTGAAGTGTCAGATGATTTTTAGTCTTCATGCCTATCTGATTGAAAAAAAAATTTTCACATCAGGACAATAAAAGATTTTGAGTAGGCAGCTATTATATGGGTAGGTAGGGTTAGGGCAAACAAACATATTCTTTTTTATGACCCTAGCCAGTATCATCTGACCTTGACCTCATTTCCATGGTTCATTGGTTAACATTAAGTTTTTTGTGTTTTGGTCTGTTTTTCAATTACCATATGCACTGTGTCAACTATATTTGGTGTATGGAATAATTGTAAGGTGAACATGTCTGTGTGAAAGTTTTTATCTGACCTTGACCTCATTGTCATTGATCTTTGAAAATGTTAATGTGATACTTGTAGTAAAACTTTTATCTTTAAGACTTTCAACATAAAATCAATGATCAGTAAAACAGGTGAGACATTTCAGCGTTTGCACTCTTATGTTAAAAAAGCTGAACAAATTTTGTTACAGTTGCACTAATTTGTGTGTTGAATATTTTGATAACAACAATACCTAATTGGCAAAATTTATGAAGGTAAGATAAAGATATGGGTAACAAAAGCTTGTCTTGTGATATTTTGACTGATAAATTCCTCAAGAATTAATGTCCACTGTTTTGTTACTTATAAAATGTTTAATGACTGCTCATTATTTTTACCCCTCCCAAGTCAAGTGGGTGTTATATAGGGATTATTTGGTCCCTTCATTCATTTGTTCATCTGTTCCTTCATCCTTTCTCAATTATATGATCAGCAATCTTCCTCTTAAGCCAAGGAAACTTTAAAGAATTTTCAGTAAATAATGTCATATTATTTTATTTTTTGTAACAAAAGATTTTTCGATAGCTAAAATATGGACTTTGCTATATGTTCAAAAGTGGATATGAATCCTGTGTCCCTTACTCTTGAAATTCGTTTACTGTAAATTCAGAAATTGATGCGAGCTTTTCATTAATGGGAATAATGCTCCTCCTTAAGTATCGCAATAATAAGAACTCTCATTCTGATATATGATACATATGTATGTATTAAGCTTTTCTTGAAATCTCAGTTATTAAAGTAGCATTTTTGTTAATTCTTCAAAAATCGCAATAATAAATGCACGCAATTATTTATGAATCAACAGTATTCAACCCAAGAGAAAATGAAAACGGGATCTATCGGGATCCCAGTCAAATCCCGGTAAAATTAGCGGGATAAGCCGGGATGGGCCTCAGAAGTCGGGATTCCATTCGGGATAAATATCTGAAACTGGGATCCCATTCGGGATATATGTCTGAAACTGGGATCCCATTGGGATATCTGTCTCAAGCTGGGATCCAATCCCAGTTGAAGCAAGATAAATATACGAAACTGGGATCCCATTGGGATAACTGTCTGAAACCGGGATCCCATCTTACTTTAAACAGGGAAACATAAACCAGAATTTTGTGTGGAATTTAAAAAAAATTATCCTGGAAATGTAAAATATATCCTGGTTATAGATTTCTGTGAAAAACCTAAATTTTGTAAATTTTCCTTTTTAAATCAATATATTTTGAATGACCCCACTTAAAACTGGTGCTTTGAAAATTTGGATGCCCTTTTTTAAATGCCTCTCCCCCACTAATTGCTTCTAAAAATAAAAGTTGTCCTCTTTCAATGAAAATTTGAATTATTATTTGAATGCACTTGATAGATCAATTAATGGAAGTAAAGATGAAAAAAATAATTTTCAAAATATTTATATTTGAAGTGTTTTCAGGTTAAAAATAATTAAAAGTAATATTCTGATATGCATTTGCATTCAATTTGTTTTATTTTTTTTTTTTTAGAAAAAAAACCAATAAATTTAAGGAATATATTGTGAAAAGGTGATAAAAAAGGGGAAGTAACTGAAACATTTTTGAAATACACAAATTATTTATGACATAAAGCAAAGGTTATTTGTGTTAATTAACAATGTGTTTGACACCAAAGCTGTCAGGTGAAGCCCTGCACTTAATGGGTCACTTAATTTGACAGTTTACACAGCTAGCTGAACTTCTGTTGATGGAAGAATTACAAATTTTAGTTTGACAGTATTTCAAAGTCAGAAAAATGCCGAGATTTTCGCGATAAAAACGAAAGGGCGCCCGAGAAACGCCAACGGCTGTTTTGCCAGACAAGCTGGATCGTTTCTGATTTTCTACCTGTTGTCCGGCATTTAAATAACATAGAAAAATTATCAGATCAACGATAGGCCAACGATCGACATCGTAAAACCTTGGTTCTCAACTTATGTAAACAAGTCATGACCACGTGGTTTTTAGTAATTGTACTGAACAGTCCGACCCTAGAAAATACCGTCCTAGATAATGCGGCCACTAGTTCATCCGCATGCACCCTGTGCCGATTAAATTAAAGGTTTTTTTTTCCTATTTTTAAAAACTGGCCAGTAATAAATACTTTTATACGACACCCTTGATTTATTTTTATAATACCGTTACGGGGACGGATCAACTTCTGGCCGATATAATATGGGGCGAGATTGTCACCTCGACGTTAGAGTACTCAATAAAAACGTCATCAAAATGTGATTACGCTGTAGCAAAATAGAAGATTCCATGTGATGGTGAAGATGTTTTCAGATAAGTGCATTAAAAATTTAATTTAACATGTGTATATAATGAGATTATAAAATATAATTTATTGAGGAACTATGATTTTTTTATGGTTTTTTTTTTAGCAAATCAACATCAGAAAATCTGAAAGCATAAACCTGGGAACATGCAGATATATCTAATATATATATGTTCCTGCATAAACTGAAAAATATATTTATTTTTAACAACATTGAATAATCTTGTTGTCACATAACAGGCATAACTGGTAGATATGTAAAAATTTAATTGAATTGTGTGAATGGTTATTTGGTGAAAATAATAAGTCGCTAGTTTTTTATCTTCAGGGGATAAAAAAAGAGGGAGGGTAATTAATTTGATTCCAACTGGCTTCCAATGTATACTGTATAAACATGCAATAATATTTCTATTGAATTTATTGCTTCAAAATGTCTAGAACAATTGATTCTTTGTGGATTTTTTTGATACTTTTAGGGGATTAAATGATTAAATGGAGCTGCCAATTTTGAAAGTAAACGGATTGCATGCAGATTCCAGTTACCTTTACTCAGCAATACTAGTTGGAAGTACAGAGACAGCAAATTTAATTACAGAAAGGAGGAGAGGAGAACTTCACATGTATCCTTTATATCTGACACACATTTTTAATATTATAATATTTGAAACTGAACAGCGAGCATCATTAAGCCATGGTGAAAACTGCGTATCTAAATACAATTAAGACAATGAAATGCTTGAAGGTGTTAGTGAACATGGGGAGGAGGGGTGGGGTGAGTACCATATTTAATTAATGGGTAATTTAACAATATAAGCAGCCATTAAAAATGGCAAACAAGTTTGCTAGTAGTACTAGTATCTATAATTTTGATGGAAGTTTAAGGATCTCAGGACATTAAATACAAGTACATTTTTTTTGAATGGGAACTTGACAGCCATTGAAATAAGATATTAAACATGGCCAATACAATGTAATTCATGCCGCAATGTTTATATATACGTGACAGATTTGATACAAGGGCAATATTCATCTACCTTATAATGAGTAATAAATGTGTATATTCCCTCAGAAAATGCAAAATCGTAGCATTTCGGGAATCCCGCCAAAAGTCCGGGATTCCCGATGTAAATCCCAGTGGAAATATACTGGGATCCCAGTATATTTCCACTGGGATAAAATTTCGGGAATCCCGCCAAAAGTCCGGGATTCCCGATGTACGGGATTCCCGCTAAAAGAGCGGGATCCCAATCAGAATCCCAGTATATTCCAATCAAAATCCCACAATATCCCAGTGGGATCCCAGTATATTTCAACCGGGATTTACATCGGAATTCCCGGACTTTTGGCGGGATTCCCGAAATTTTATCCCGGTGGAATTAGGTGGGATCCCACTTGGAATCCCATCAAAATTCCAGCTGGGATTTCAGTGGGATTCCAGATTTATTTTCTCTTGGGAAAACTTTCAAAGAATATTTTTTTACTGTGCAATTTAGCATTTCCTATTATATTTTAGATCAGCTGGGCCATAAGTGTAAAATGCCGTTTTTGGCTTATATCTCAAAAACTAAAGCAGTTACAACTAATCTGACAAGGGGATTAAAATGATCATTAGGTTGA